TTTTTTTCWWTMWYWAMYAWMTWTAATTGAAGTTGAGTTTACTGTCTTCAGACTATTTTTTTGATGACGCAAATCCGTAACGCGCCCAGATTGAATACAATATCCAACATTACTAACTATAAACTTAACAACTATTAGATCTGTCCCTCATTATTGTGTACCCAGAATAAGTTGTTTTTTATAAATGTGCTATTAGGGAGTCGTAATGAACTTCAAAAGATTTTTTTTCAAGTGTACATTAAATGTTCATTTTATTAGATGTTTGTGACGCCCGTTAGGCATTAAGATAAATGTTATAAAGATACCGGCTGACGATAAAGTTTAATATATTTTTTTTAGGTGTCTTCATAAATCAAACTGGCGCCACGGTCAAGGTAAACACACATTTTTTTCAGGATATTGAACTTTTTGACTCTATCTCAGTTACCTCAATAAACAACTTTTTTTCCCTCCATTTTCATTGATTTTCATTTTCCTTTGTCAAGATGTTTTTCCTTTTTTTATCTTACTATCTTTATTACAAGAGGATAAATATGTTTTGTTACTTAAATTTTTTTTCTGTTCATTGTGTTTTCATCAGGGTATGATAGGATATCATACACGATTTTTTTTTTATATCATTGTCAGATCGGTTTTGTTGTTGCTTTGTTTTTCTATGTATTTTTTTACAACAAAAAACTCGCATGTTTTCAAAGTGGATATTCTGTTAATCAATAAAAGTATTACTAATATTTCTGAAATGTAACGGTTGTTTTATTGGCTGATTTATTTTTTTTTCACAGCTTATCTAGCTGTGAAACTCCAGTAGTGGCAACCAGCGTGCCTAGTGTGTCGGCTCGCTTCCATCAAGCCAGCCGTCGATTTTTGGAAAACTTAATTCAATTTTTTTATCCAGATGATGAGAATAATTGCATCGAATTTTAGTATCAGTTAGACAAGTTTTATTTGTTAGTGAAAAATGGGAAGATTTTCCAGTTTTTGACTGTGGGATTTTTTTMCTGTTAATTGTGCGCAAATGGGAAAATGCACTAAACAGATGAAGTTCTTTTTTTATTACCAATTTTATCCCGMCAGTTTGTAGCATTAGAAAAAGTACTAAGTTTTTTTTTGAAAAAGGAAAGATTTACTCTGTTTTGTAAATGAGAATAATTGAGAATCTGGTAAACAAATAATATATGAATTGCGTGCGGAAAGCAAACGAACGATAAAATTTTTTTCGTCCCYGCACAGCTTGAAGTCTGTTATGACCTTCTGTACACCGGTTATTTTTTTAAAGTGACTTCCAATCCGCATATCCCATCTATTCAATGTAGATCTATATTTTTTTCCTTCATACTGTTGCTAAAATCATTTCATATCTGGCCTCTTATTTCACTTTTTTTAACTTTGAGTCGTAAAAATTATTCCACGAGGAGCCCAGATTTCTCAGATTTTTTTATTTTAWTTGGGTTTCGTTTGATAAAACGCAGAAATGCATGGAAATAAGATGTCGAGGTCTAAACAGATAAACAGTTTCTTATCAAAGTAATCGATCATCTCTTTTTTTTAGATAAAGACGTTGTCTCTTGTTTTCTTTTGTTCAAAAAATTACAGTTTTTCAGCTCGAGGCAACGCCGAGGTTTAACGCTATTATTGATACACTTGATCATGCTGTTCCTTCTATTTATAAAACAGTTCTTATTTTCGACCCGTTAACAAGGACACTTAGATTATTGTCAATAGCAATCACCTTGTTAGATCAAGGTTTATCAACTAATCATTTTTTTTGATTCGAGCTCCTGCTAAGTCGGTTACTGTCTCGGTACTATCCGACCATTTTTTTGGCATATTTTYAGATTTCCACCGTCATCCAAGCTTGCTTGGTTATCATCAGGTTAGCAAATGAGTAATATTTGTTATTTTAGATGTTTTTTCGACTACAGAATTCGTAGATTGACAATGAAATATTTAATCTAGATAGACAATAATTGTTGATCTTTCTGTGCACTTCTGTGTTTCAAAAAAAGGAATATTTTTAATACTAATTTTTTAATAATTTTTTTAAGATAGAAAACTGGGAATGCCGTTGAGAGATTTTCAATTTGTGGTTTTATTGTTTTTTCTTGTAAACAGCCGGGACAGGATTTTGCGCATTTCTTGCGCGCGCTAGCTACGCATTTTTCTGATCGTCACACGAAATGCACCTCTAGCTTCCACGAAGAAACTTTCCTTTCTTAATTTATTGGTCTTATGCTTGCAGATTTTTTTAATTCTTGATCAGCTTGAAATGCTGTATTTTTTTATATAAATGGCTATATTCATAGAACGCAGTATTGAATCAATTAAGTCTAAATGGCAAACTATTCATGCCATCAATCATCAAGCCTTTTTTTTTTYATAAAGATTGGCTACTTCCCAGGTTCGTTGTAATGATGCATATTTTTTTTTTAAGGCAAGTTAAACGARCAAGAAATTGATAGCTTAATTCTATGRCCATTTTTTTGTTCACTGTAGRGTTTAGAACAGCAGAGTTTCATTCTAATCAGTCCCATTTTTTTTGTTTGTCACATTTTGTTTTATTTCATAACACAGAAATGGTTAAAAAATTTTTTTAGTTGTCGCTCTTATAATTAAAAACGTTATAATTAGATAGTAATGAGCTTTTTTTGTTAGTTATATATTCCTCGTGGCCGTGATGCAATTTGTAAAGTATGCTTTTTTTGTTACGAGCACGTGACTTATCAATTTGGTTCTTAAATACATTAAAAAATTTTTTTTTTCAAGTTGAATTGCTTATATTTTGTTTAACGCAGCTCTGAAAACTGTTTTTTTGGCAATTAGAAATAACTCGAACTGAACGTAAAAAAACTGTATTTCCTATTTTTTTACAAACAGGAAAATTTTCACTTTCAGTTTCGAAATATGGTGGAATGTTTTTTTTTATTTTTAAAATTAGACTGAGAACAAATCAAAGTGCTTTATTCGCTAAGTTTTTTTTCTCTTATTTAGCTGTAATAATTTAYTTTTAAAGCAACATTTCTCTTTTTTTTTTAGTCTTGTGTGCCCTGCCGGTTATTGAGAAAACATTGTTAGAAAATAATTTTTTTTTTCCTGAAATAACAAACTCTATCCTAATATCAACAGACTTTCGTTGTCCTAAAATGGAAAACTATAACAATATCAGTTAAAGTGAATTAATTTATTGTAGTGTTTTTTTTCGACAAAATGGCGCCTCTTTGAAGTGGCTTTTAAACAAAACTGMACTTTTTTTTCAACTGAGTTGACTTTCTTAACAATTCGCGATAAAATACAACGCGGTATTTATATTAATAACTTATCAGTACGAATTGAAATGTTTTTATTTTGAAAAATAATGATTAAGCCATTCTTTCCTAAATTGTTCTGTGTAACTCGTGGATCTCATCAACTTCACAGAAAACTTCACGTGTTCCTTTGATTCAATCGGTTTYTTGAGGTTATTTTATTTTTTTTGAAATTTTATAGAGTTWTTTTTTTGCAACAATTATTCAAAGTATTTTCTTTTTTTAGTTTTCAATCCAGCWCACAAGAAAAATAATTGCAAAGTGTCCAAACTTTTTTTTTTACAACATTCTTGAATTTTAATGAGGGTATAGACTATGTCGTTAATGTTTTTTTTTTGTTACAGCCAATTGTAATCAATAATGCTTGTCTTTGTTCAATGACTTTTTTTTACTTTTGTAATTTACCGGTCGAGAAAATACGTAACGGCAAGAATTAATTTTTTTGTTGAATTTTTTTTTGAAAGAGTGCCCGCCTTTTACCGCAAACCCTCATTTTTTTTTCAAGTATTGTTGAAGTTGCCAAAAACGTTTTTTGAAATTTTCCGACTTTTTTTTTTCTGTGCACACAAGTTTTGTTCAACCATGCTTAATATTCATTACTATTTTTTTTTGGAGAGTAAACATGTTTGACTTGGGACAGTTAAAAAAATTCGCGTTCGCGCCAAAATGGACAGAACTAAAAATAATATCGGAATGTAAATTGATAATCTGATTACTTTGAATTGCTACAAGTAGTCCCACGCGTAATATTTTGGATTAAGAAGTCTCATAACTTTATGCGGATATGATTCATGTRATTTGCAGGAAAATCTTTGTGGTAAATTTTTTTTTCTAGTCGCCGTGACAAAAACCTGTCGGTATGTGAATGACTTCCGGCTTTTTTTTTTGAATGGCTTGTTGCTATGGTAAGCTGTCAATTGGATTGTCAGTCATTTTTTTTCACGTCTAGAAGAATGTGAAGTCTMAAGGGAATAAAGCAAAGGTCATTTTGTTCACTCCTCAAAACTTTATGATATGTCAGCCACTTTACTAGTACGGGCAAAGTTAGACTATCACAAGGTCTAGCGTGCTGTGTTTGGATTTGAGAATGAATTCACTTTTTTTTAATCTATCTAACTGGAATTTAATTAACTCCTTTGGGTTAAGGTACTATTTTTTTTTTGACAAATATGTTGTTAATTGCTTGCCAAGTTGTTGTGATTTCGTTTTATGATAGAGTTGTTTTTTCTTCAATTTCAGCTCAAGCTAAAGTACTTTGGATTGTCTACTAAAATGGGACTCCAGCCGTTTGTTTTCACTATTCTAATTTTATTAAGTGGGCTCTCAAAAGTTTGTGAAAGTAAAAAGAAAGCTRCGAAGCAAAGTTCGGACATTTTTTTGGACTCTCGACGGCCAATTGCAGTCGTTACAGATGTCGTCCCGACATATTCATTTGAATATCGTTCTCCCAATCCYAAAGACATCCGCTTTACCAGTGGAGGGTTTTTTTAAGCTTCTATTGAAGAAATAAAACCTATTGGAACTGCCATAAAATGTGACTTAAAAATGGGAGTTTATTCAAAGGACAGAAAGGTTGATTTCATAATCACTAGTGGCAACGAGCAAGGCGCCTTCAAAGTGCAAACTCGTCATGTCAAAGACTTTTATTTTTTTTATATTATTTCAGCTAGAAGATTAAATAGAGAGAGTACTCCATTATACTTTTTTTTTGTGGTTGCTCAGGATTCTGCAAGCAAAAGAACACTCGACATTACTAAAGTAAATATTACAGTAAAAGACTCGAACGACAATCGACCCATATTCTTGAAAAGATTTTTTTTCGTAACTGTATCAGAAGACACTCCAATGCATACTTCTATAGCTAAAATTTTTTTAGTAGATGCTGATGTTGGTAGTAATGGCTTAGTGTATTACTCGTTCAGTTTTTTTACAAATGAATTTGCTATACATCCTATATCTGGTGTAGTGACTGTGGCACGCAAATTGGACAGCACAAGAGACAAAGTRCAAAAACTCACTGTCGTTGCTCGCGTTTTTTTACTTAAATCAAAAAGCACAAGGAAATGCAAAATAACTATAAGAATTCATTTTTTTAATCAGTTTTCCCCAGTGATTACAATAGTTAAACAGCTTTCAAGTGTATTTTTTTGGTCTGATGGCATGGTTTATGCTACTTTGGAGGTAATTGATCAAGATATTTTTTTCAATGGTCATATTGATAGACTCGAGATAACATCAGGAAATGTTGATGGTTGTTTTGGGATTAAATCCCCATCAAARGACATCAATAATTTCACATCTGAATTGTTTTTTTTCAAACCACTTGATCATGAAAAGGCACCTTATGGATATAACTTGACAATTTTTTTATTTGATGCTGGAAACCCAAGWAGAAATGGYTCCATAAACTTACAGGTTTTTTTTAATGATATTAATGACAACAATCCAGAGTTTGAAAATAGCAGCTATCAAGCTAAGCTCTCTGAGCTGTCCCCACCACATACACCAGTAGTTAAAGTCTTTGCTATTTTTTTAGATRGTGGTTCAAACGGCGAAGTATCATATGCTATCACCAGAGGAAATAATGATGGAAAGTTTGAAATCAACTCTAAAACAGGACAAATTTACACTAATGGCTACTTGGACTTTGAGTACAAACAGAGTTATGACCTTCAAATTGCTGCTCTAGACGTTTTTTTACCTTCATCAAGACGACTATCAAATATTGGTGTGTTTGTRCAGGTCCTTGATGCAAATGATCACAGCCCTTCTTTCCAGAAATCCATTTATGAAAAAGACTTATTTTTTTATTTAACAGCTGGTACAAGTGTTTTTTCTGTCAATGCGAGAGATAAGGTTTTTTTTGACAATGGAAAGGTTCGCTACAGTATTGCCAATGTTGAACCAGTTCCTTTTTTTATTGATGACAAGACAGGTGATATCAAAGCCTTGACCAACCTTGACAGATTTTTTTGACTACCAGAGTAYATTCACCTGCAAGTACGTGCATCGGACTTCGGCATTTTTTTGCGTAGAGAGTCAGAAGTCATTGTAAAGTTTAGAATACATGCTATTAATTTTTTTCTTCCTATTCTAAAACAATACAAGTGTGATATATACCTGGATCGTGATTTTTTTTCTGGTGTGTTATTAACAACTATTAAAGCTGTTGACGTAGATCTTGGAGAATCAAATCAACAGCTGACATACAAATTTACTTTTGGCAACACTGGAAATGTCTTTTTTTTTGACTTTAAAACTGGTGAGCTCAAAACTGCAAAAACTTTAGAAAGAGCTTTTTTTTAGTATACTCTGTATGTGAAAGCTTTTGATGGTATGCAAGAATCTCCTGATAGTCACCCTGCTGTATTGAAAGTACATGTTATCACTGGTCGTGAAGCCAGAAAACTCTCAAACCATGTCAAATCTACATGTGTTGATTCTCCGCTTTATGCTAAAGCATTTTTTTCAAAGATGAARCAGTCCAAAAACAAGCCCTCGWCACCTCAAAGTAAACTTTTTTTTAAGATACGCAATCGACACACTCCTGTYTTCAGGTCACACGATGCYAGTTTTTTTGTCAAAGARGATGCTTCAAAGGGCACAGTATTGACGCAGCTYGTTGCTTTTTTTTAGGATAAAAGTTTTAATGGTCTTGTTGTTTATTCTATCGTCAAGGGTGTTTTTTTCAGTGTTTTTAACATTGAMATGTTTACTGGAAARCTGTACATTAACCGTTTTTTTGACAGAGAAAAGACTGACTCGTATTCACTCAACATCTCAGCTTCAGACTGCGGGAAGAGACACAGAACTGCTTATACAACTCTCCAAGTACTAGTATTAGATGTTAATGACAACAGTCCAGTGTTTACCAAGTCCAGATATTATGCAAAACTTAATGAAGATGTAACTATCGGCCAACCAGTTGTTGAAGTAAAGGCAGCTGACAAAGACAAATTTTTTTATGGCGAAATAAAATATGAACTATTGAATGATTTTGATGGTAAATTCAGAATTCATAGTACTACTGGTGTCATTAATGTTGCTTCAAGTCTTGATTATGAACAAAAATCCAACTATGTAATTCCAGTCAAGGCAGTTGATGGCTCTTTGGAACATCCATTTTTTTGCTACACTGAGGTACATTTGAGCTTGATTGACATTAATGACAATGCACTTTTTTTTACACCCAGTAGCTTAAACATTTCTATCCCTGAGGATTTGCTTACTGATTTTTTTGTTACTACTATTCTTGCTGTGGACCCTGATTCAGGACCTGGTGGTAAATTTTTTTATTCATTACTTGAAGGAAAGAATAAGTTTAAAATCGACCAAGAAAGTGTTTTTTTAAGACTCAGAAGGAAAGTTAATCACGAGCGTGTTTCAGCATACAATGTTACAGTACGTGTGTCGGACCAAGGACAGCCAAGTCTTTCCACCGATGTGCACATTTTTTTTTACATTCTTAACGTGAATGAAAATCGATTTGCACCAGTGTTTACGGGAGGAAATCTTCTTAGAGCGCCAGTCTACGAGAATCTTGATCCAGGAACCATAGTRCTTTTTTTTAAAGCTACCGATAAAGAGAAAGATTCCTGGTACTTGAAATATGCCATTATTGATGGAACTGGCGTTGATAAGTTTGTAATTGACCCAGATACAGGTGCAATTCTTTTTTTTCAAAAACTAGATCATGAAGAAATTGGACATTACTGGCTGACTGTTCAAGCTAAAGATGGCGAGATTCATCCACTGTACACAAATATTCCTGTACTTATTGAGGTTTTGGACGTGAATGATGAGGCGCCATATTTTAAYCCATTGATGTACTACCCWCTTTTTTTTGAGAACAAGAAAGCTGGTACTTATGTTGTCAACGTAACGGCCATTGATCCTGACTCTGACGGCTCAAGACTCACTTATAAGATTATCAAAGGCAACAATGATCACGCTTTTACTATTCATCGTCGCACTGGAGTAATAACGACYCTTAAACCACTAGTTTTTTTGGATAAAGCTGAATATACTCTGGTTGTCATGGCTTCAGACGGAGGATCTTTTTTTAAAAATGCTAATGTAACATTTACTATCAAAGTAACCGATGATAACGACCACGCTCCAAAGTTCACTGACGACCAATACATCATTCTTACCGTGCCAAGGAAAGCTGCTTCAAAGCCCGCTCAAGTGTTCGATATACTAGCATCTGATAARGACATTGGTTTTTTTGCTGACTTGACGTACTCCATTGTCGATGGGAATTCACAGGGTAAAATGTTTTTTTACTCCAAAGCTGGTATTTTATATTGTGCAAGCGATCTTGTGGATGGCGTTTTTTTTGATCTGACAGTAAACGCCAGGGATAGAGGACAACCAAGTAAATCTACTTTTTTTACTGTAACAATTGATGTAGTAGCTGGTAATCCTAAAAGCGCTAACCCTTTTTTTTTTTGGCAAGACAGTTACTCTGCAGACATTGCCGAGAACGCTGAAGTTGTTTTTTTTGTGGCTGGTTTAATGGCTGACGACCCGGACAACGATCAGCTAAGGTTTTTTTTTACGGCAGGCAATGTTGGTAATAAATTCACTATTGAACGGTTGGGTGGGTTTTTTTCTGTTGCACGCTCACTAGACCGAGAAGCCAAGAGCTCTTACTCGTTGATTTTTTTAGTGACTGATGGCTACAACCCAGTCGACACCAAACTTGATGTCAGAGTGTTGGACATTAATGACAATGCACCACAACCTGAACGCAAGCAGTATCGAGCTCACGTTCGTGAAGATGTGAAGATTGGAACTCTTGTGACTACTGTTAAAGGTAAATGATTTTTTTTRTGATTGTGATCATGGTGGCTCGCATGCTATAGCTTTAAGAACGAGATAGTTGGCATTATGAAAATATAAATGGTGAATGATGATGCTGATGACAGTGATAAGTTTTTTTATAAAACATTAATGACGATTATAATGATGGTGATGAATGCAATGATCATTTTTTTATGATATTGATGACACTTACTGATTAGAAACATTGATATACATTATGGTTTTTTTATTTATAATATTGTGCATTTGTCTAGGAAAAACATTGCTGTTTCTAATGTGTAGTATTGATCTTTTTCAGCCACTGACCCCGATGCAGGTGTCAACGGTGAAGTCGCATACACCCTTGTTGGTTCCTCTAAATCAAAATCAACGTCTCTCTTCAAGATTTTTTTTATTTCAGGACAAATATCAACCACCAAGACACTAGACTATGAAGACACTAGAGAGCATGTGCTGATGATCAAAGCTAAGGATAGAGGAAGACCAAAGAAGTCCAGTCTATTTTCAGTCGTTATTTCAGTGATCGACGTCAATGACCATAAGCCACTGTTCGTTAAACCATCCTACGAAGCAGAAGTCAGCTTTAATGCAGCCATCGGTAGCCCGTTTTTTTAAGTTGTAGCCACTGATGAAGACGACGGAACYAATGCTAAGTTAAAGTTTTTTTTAGCAAAAGGAAATGCTAATGGATCCATATCTGTTGATCAGAACTCTGGCCTGGTACGAGTCAGTAATAAATTAAGTCCTTTTATCAAGGACTACGTATTGAAAATCCAAGCGGCTGATGGTGGAACTCCGTCTCTGATTGCTCAGACTAATGTTAAGGTTTTTTTAGGGGTGTGTCAAATGGTAAACATAGTGTGTATATGAGATGTTACAGTTTTTTTTAAGGATATTTAGCCGTTAAACGTTACCAAAATCACCTCGAAAAGTTTGATTTTTAGGCGACTTAAACAGAAGAACTTTTTTATAAATCTTTAGTGGGAAAGCTTGAAGTAGCCTGTGATTACAATGAAAATTATGTGATAATATTGTATCTTGGTGATTTTTTTTAAACTGAGTGGATTCTATAGAAGAGGCACTAAGTCATGTGGGATAGCCTTTTTTTTCATATGGAGCATGCGTACTGATAACAAAACTTGGAAATATTGTTTTTTTTTTTTCTTGACCCACTCACAATAACATATAGATATAGATATAGATACGAATTTTTTTTTTTTTATTACGTTTATCATATTGTTAATTAATATTGTGTTCCTTAGATTATTTTTTTAGGAGTAAAGGAAAAGCTATCGTTCGACAGGCCTATCTATGAAGCAAATTTTTTTGAGAACTCCATTCCTGGACAAGCCTTAGTAACTGTTGCATATAATGGTTTTTTTTCAGTCTATGAGATTGTATCATCTGAAAGTAGTTGTTGGAAAAAGTTTGAAGTGCAACGACAGTCTGGTGTTGTGGTCAATAAGGTAAAATAAATTTCTTGTTTTTTTTTTTACTGTGTAGTTCCTACAGACCGAATACATTTAATGGCCAATCTATTCTTTTTTTAGCTTTTTTGACTGACGACAATTGCCTGTACTTAATGTAGCCGAATACTTTTTTTTGATGGCAGTGCTATTTTTCCATTCGTTCGATAGCTATATGAGTTCTTTTTTTTTCCTTAAGCACAAGATGGGAAATCTCTTTCCTCTATTTCCTTGTTCCCGTTTTTTTAACACAATCTCAGTGTCTTTTTTGCATTTTACTTGAGTGATATAGTTCTTTTTTTGAATCCGCTTATGACCAAATATAGTGTTGGTTTCCGTTGGTTAAGCCAGATGTAAATTTTGTATAGAAATTATTTCAACTCCCAAAAGCATAGCAACATATTGTTGTTTGAACAATGGCTTGGCTGCCATTGTTTCATTTCTCATTTTTTCCATTTCTTTTTTTTCCATTTTCTTTTATATTGGATCAAAAGTTTGTGAATTTTGAGGAGTTCTTTTTTTCTGGACCGATGATTACYTTACATACTATCCGACTTGTATATCATTTTCTTTTTTTTCAAATTTTCAATCGGGCATTATATCAATCAGCAATGGGCGTCCAACTTTTTTTTTAACTCTCTTCGGATATCCCATGCCATTAATCTAATTTAGACAAGATTTTTTTTTTTTTCTAGGCATTTCATCGTTTAGATACTAGAAGAAAGCCCATCTGCTTTTTTTTGCGTGCTATTTTGCTTGTATACATTAGGATTAAAGCGGTAGCTTATCATTTTTTTCTTGTAACATGTACCAAGTGTTTGCTCTGYAAAACAATTTGAACTTTATTTTTTTACATTGTGGCTGTGTTCGTACGTGAAGTCCTCTTTAAGCCGCAAATGCTTTTTTTGAACTCTCAAGCGATCGAGGTATCGCATTCTCTGTATTTTCATGGGATTGTTGCGGTTTTAACAACTTCATATAGTCCGGTAATTACTCTAATGTTCGCTTGCTTTTGTCTGGGTCAAAGGTTTTTGAATACCGAAAATCCTAGGTACATCTTTGGAGTTTTTTTTCAAGATATATTCAAGATTATATCATGTACAAACAAGAATCTTGTCATTTTTTTTAATGCTATATTATTCTCATTTTCATTCTGCTATTCTTATTTTCCATTCTTTTTTTTTTTTTCTCATTTATTTGGCTTCGTGTATGGTCGCACAGATTGTGTGCTTTTTTTTATGTTTTCTTAATTCAAGTCGACAGTTTCACTCGTTCAGTTGGGTTATTTTTTTGTGTTTCTACACCCACACAAAAATGCTGACGCCCTGGAAATCCTAAACCCAAAAACAAACTCTCTGGAGAATCTGCTTTTCAAAACATTCCTAAAAACTGCAATTTTTTTAATTGCTGTCGCGATTMTCTGTAAATTGCCCAGTTTCTAGTAAGTAAATTTTTTTCATGCTGTTAGCATACTGTTCTCTGTGCGTTTCTGATGCCCGCTTTTGTCACCATATTAAGGTGTTCATCAAATACTTTTCAAAATACCGGTCTATAAATTGGTTTTTTTGACTAAATACRCAAAAATACTTCAACGGGATGCATTCCACAGCCAGTATTTTTTTAAACCTAAATACCGSATTAATGGAAMCAAATTTATGCTCCATCTTATTTGTATTAAATCTCAGAGTGTTTGAGTTTCGTTTTGCGTGTTTTTACACTAGTTTGTTTTTTTCGTGCTGTGCACTGAATTTTCTACAATTCCATGATCTCGGTTGTGACCTTTTTTTAAACTCAACACTTCAGTAGACGATGAAAATAGAATCATCTAGTGAAGGTTTTTTTACTTTATTCAGTAAATACTCGATGTATTTTTAGTATAATTGTTAGCATTTTTTTTGTTTTTTTTGCTAACGCGTCTTTGCTTGCCTGTTGTGAAAAGCTTGAGTTTTTTTGGGCCCAGTTGGAGCAAACATAGCATTCATGCCAATAATAAACGGGTCTTGATGTAGAGAGGCGTTCATCAGACCTTTCGCAGTATTGAATTCGTCTCTTCCAGCTCTTCGAGACTGTCTGCAAATGTGATGATAGTTGTGCTTTGTATTTAGAGAGTTCACATCAGACCTTTCGCTGTATTGAATTCGTGTCTTCTATCTAGTCCCTTGACTGTCTGCAAATGTGATGATAGTTGTGCTTGTTGTATTTAGAGGATGGCCAGTCTACAAACAAAGAAAGATCAATAAAACACTTTTTTCTGAAAAATGTCCATTTAATGTAACGAGAACACAGTCATTTTGTAACCAAATATGATGGAAAGATTCGGTTTTGTATTTCCTGTACAGAAATGACAAAAAACTGCATTCGTTAGACGGATATGGAAAAGCGGGAGGAGTAAATTGCTCGTAAAAATGACATCGCTTCTTATTGCCTATCGATATAGTTGTTGTTGTTTATTAGTTCAGCAACATAATAAGCCCCACACCCCACCCCTAACCTCCCCACCCCCGGCAAATTCCTTAGCTTTCCAAGCCAAATGTCGTGAAATTCTTAGTTTGATTTGTTAACTCGTGGATTCCATCACAAGTAAMTGTTAACGCGATTTTTTTTCAGGTGCAATTTGACGCCGAAGAAATAAGTCGGTGCAAATTTCAAGTCCGTGCCACCAGTATTGATGGTCAGCAGTCAACGGCATTTGTAATAATCACGGTGGTAGATGAGAACGACAATGCGCCAGTTTTCGCGCATGAGCACTTCATCGGGCATGTTGCAGAAGGTGTAGCTGTTGGGTCTCCTGTGTTAGATTCCAAGGGAAAACCGCTGGTTACTAGTGCAACTGACATTGATGTCACGGATAATGATAAACTAACATATGAAATAGTGGATCTTAATGCAAAGAATGCGTTTGCAGTTCATCCTGCAACTGGTGCCGTCACTACAAATAAGGTAGGTCCATTCGATACTTGAATGCAAGGCCACTTTGTAGGCTTGAAGTGACTATATCAGACTCGTACTCAGTCGATTCTCCTGCTCTTTTACAGGTCGCGTTGCATCAAGGGAAGTCTGAACTTGCGGAAAGACTTCCGACTTCTCTTGATCCTTTTCGTGCTGCAGAAAAAAGAGTAACGACTGGGCACGAGTCTGTAACTATATGCGCACCAAACGTAATCCTAGAAATCCGATTCATTATCGATTGCTTGCGACTTGTAACGATTGCTAGGCCATAGTATGTTTGTTTATGATTCACTGTTGGTTTTCCCAGGACATTGATTATGAAACCACATCAACGTACAAGTTCAAAGTGAAAGTAACCGACTCAGGTGATCCTAAACAGTCCGCTTTCGCCGATGTTGAGATCAAAGTCGACGACATTAATGATGTAGCTCCAGTATTCACAGCATCGACATATCACGCAACAGTTTACCTACCAACAGTTGCTAACACCATGGTCGTCAAGGTGACAGCAACAGATACCGATAGTCCAAGTCTGTCATATTCACTAGCAGATGATGACTTGAGGATGATGTTTCAAATTGAAYCAACCAAAGGTGTCATCACCGTTAAGAACGAATCTAAAATAGTACAAGGAACCTACAAGTTGACAGTTGTTGTCAGTGACGGAAACTTCTCGTCTCAAGCTCATGTCAGGGTTCGTTGTCAGCCATTATTACCCAGTTCGTTGCAATTCAGACAACGTAACTACACCGCGTCAGTCGTTGAGGGTGTTACGTCAGAAAAAGACTTACTCGTACCTCAAGTAATTGGTTATCCCATTGGCGAAACTATCAYCTTCTCCATCGTAAACCCCTCGGATCTCTTCGTAATTAGCCCGAGTACTGGAGTCGTTACTATAAAAGGAGGGAAGGAACTCGACCGAGAGKTAACCGATTCGTATSAGATCGTRATTCAAGCACGTGATAGCAACGTGCCCCCTGCGATTGCGCAGACAGTCTTGAACGTGATAGTCGATGACGTCAATGATAACCGTCCTGTGTTTGTTGGTGTCCCGTATTACATCGTGTTACAGCTTGGTGTCAGATTGAACAGCAAAGTTGGACAAGTAAAAGCAGAAGATGCCGATATTGGTAACAATGGCGAATTAAGGTATGTAAGCAGTCTGTCAAAAAAAAAAAAAAAATAGAGAAAGAAAGAAAGAAAGAAAGAAAGAAAGAAAGAAAAAAAAAGAGAAAAAAAAAGAAAAAGTATTTTTATAGCATTCCTGTACTCACGTTGAAATTCGTTACAGGTACATCCTCAAAGGAGGTGACGACGGTCGATTCAAAGTCAATCACAAAACCGGTGAAGTCACTGTGCGCAAATCCCTTGATGACGTCATAGTACCAAAGCTTTTCACCCTGATTGTAGAGGCACACGATAAAGGACGGCCTCGCTTCAGCACCGAGACCGAGGTGAAGGTCAAGGTCGTTGACAGGGAGACGCCAGTGTTCGACCAATTGTCATTCAGTAAACTAGTACCGGAAGATGTCAAAGTTGGAAGTGATGTCACTCACGTGACCGCGAGAAGTCCTAATGGCGCTGAGGTGCTGTACAGCATCACTAAAGGCGACCCACTGAACCAGTTTAATATTGACTTCAAGACTGGTACGTAGGAATGAACTCTATTTAGAAAACTAGCAAACTTTGTCGTAATATTTGGCTGCATCGATGTATATTTTAGTCCGTGCAAGAAATRCACAATTGCAATTTATGCAAAGGCATCCCAGGGACAAAAATGGATTTTTACTTCTCTAGAGAGAAAAAGTTTTGTTTTGTCCTCTGATAAAGCTTCATTGRCATTACATGCAAAGAATCCATTGCCCTTTATCTGCAATTACATTAATAATCTAGTAATGTTTATCTCTACGATTTTCAGGAATGATCACAGTCGCTGCATCTTTAGACTTCGAGTCCATGCCTGAATACAAACTYATCGTTCGAGCCACGGATGCCAAGACGTCAGCCCACGCCGAAGTYGTAGTAGATGTCATGGTGACAGATGTCAATGACATCGCCCCAGTCTTCAACCGTTCGTTCTATCTAGCCAAAACCCCTGAAAATACCTCTGTTGGTACCCCGGTCGTTACCGTGCAAGCTATGGACGGTGATTCGGGKATTAACAAACAAATYAGTTACAGCATCCAGAATGCYAGTAAGGAGAACCAGTATTTTATCATCAACARAACATCAGGAGTGTTGTCAGTGGCTAAAGACCTTGACTATGAGACACGTGTGGTACATGAGATGATCATTGTGGCGTCRGATGGCGGCGTCCCCGTGTTAACGGGTGAGACTCGTGTCCGAGTTGTTCTTCAAGATGCTAACGATAACCCGCCTTCCTTTGAGAAAACCATGTATGCAGCTTCTATCCTTGGCAACGCTGGCCCAGGTCACTTTGTCATGCGTGTCATAGCAACTGACCCGGATTATACTGACGTAACAAAGCTTACATACGCTATCGTTAGTGGTAAAGGAAGGCAACACTTTAATATTGATCCTAAAAGTGGTGTAATAACAATGTCTCGTGTAGTTGGAATACAAAGAGGTAAAGTGTACGACCTGTCAATCACTGTCAGCGATGGTAAACACACCGCCAAGTCACGTGTCAGAATCATTATTGGCGATACAAACAGCCACAGCCCAGTCTTTACCAAGGATGTCTATCAGGTCGAATTCAATGAGAATTACCCAGAAGGCACTTTTGTCACCATGGTTTCAGCCACCGATTTGGATTCTGGGAACTACGCACGAATTAAGTACACCATTGAYAGTGTGGATGCCATGCGCAGATTTAGGATCGACGCTGACTCTGGAATGTTGTACAGCAGGCTCATGTTTGATCGAGAGAATGCTTCACAGGCTGTTATGTCTGTACCAGTACGKGCTACTGATGGTGGTGGACGATTTGGTTTCTGTATTGTCGAGGTARGTTGTTTATCTCTTGGTTGATKGTMAWTAGATTTGATTGCAAGCATGGTATTGAGAACGAGTACGAGTTTTGAAAATGTTCTTCCTGGATTACATTCACATCGTTCTTTTTACTTTGCAAAGGACCACAATTCATTTATCAATAACGTACACAAGGCCAATTGGTTTTTACGTGCCTAAAAACATATTATAATCAGTAACATTGTCTATAAAAATATAACAAAATACACACTGCATCACGCTTAGGCAAGGTATACTTATCTCTGAATCTATCCATTCTTTAGGTTCTTCTTATTGACGAAAACGATAACCAGCCCAAGTTTGAATTCAAACGATATGACACTACAATATCACGTTCTGTTGTCATGGGAACATCTATTCTAATCACGACAGCTATTGATGACGATGCCGGAAGTAATTCTGATTTGACATACTTGATCCTTGGTCACCAAACTCCGCCCATCTTTTCTATTGGAGAGAAGAGTGGCATCATCAAAGTGGTTCGCGTACCRGAAGTAAAGACATATAACTTCTTTGTGCTTGTGAAGGACAATGGTAACCCTCAGTTAAGCAGCTTGGTGCCTGTCAAGGTYGAMGTWTTAGCTCATGATGTTAAGATTCTGCATTTTAAGAAGCCTAAATACGATGTTGTTGTMTCGGAGGGTGCGGCAGTCGGTGAGGAAGTGGCACCATTAAAACTTGTCGTTCCTACWGGCAGAAAGCCGTCCATASAATACACYATAGTACGCAGCAACGCTAATCGCGATAAGAAAGCATTTTTCATTGATACATCAGGACGTATYCGTGTAAATGGAATCCTGGACTACGAGACTACCAAACGTTATGTCATGGTAGTAGAGGCAAACGCGTCGTCTATCAATCAAGTGGCGCGCACTGCTGTAGTGATCACCATYCAAGATGTAAATGACAACAAACCTGCATTCGTGTCAAACCCTTACCATGTGAGTATCCCAGAAAATATYGACATCGGTTCAAGAGTGCTGCGCGTGTTTGCTGAGGACTTGGACAGTGGAAAAAATGGTGAAGTTGTCTACGAAATCTCAGCTCGTGATCTTTCGGTCAAACGTAAATTCGACATTGATCGTAAAACTGGATGGATTACTACTAAAGGTGCTCTTGATCGAGARGACATGGGRTCCTTTGAGTTTGAAGTACGCGCCATTGATAATGGTGAAAACGCACAGCTATCAAGYACCACYACAGTACGAGCTGTCATCCTTGATGTCAATGACTCGCCTCCTAAATTCAGCCAATCGGTATTCACCACGTCAGTAAAAGAAGATGCGCTGATTGGTCAGACGGTGACTACCATTAGAGCAACAGACGATGATCTCAAGTCAGATATTTTTTACTTCATTTTGTCGGGTGATCCACAAGCGAAGTTTGGYATTGAGCGTAAGACTGGGGTGATATTCGTTCATGGCGCTTTAGACCGTGAAAAAGTCGCTTCATATAAACTTAATGTTAGTGCATCTGATGGCTTGTTCACTAGTTTCTCTCAAGTCAAGATCACTGTTGAAGATGCCAATGACAATGCTCCAGTGTGCACACAATCCATCTACGTYGTCCATGTACCTGAGAGTCTTAAGAAACGCAGCAGAGTGTTGACTGTTATGGCTACTGACGCTGATATTGGTATTAATGCACGCCTGAATTACACTGTATATGGACAGGGCGCGAAAGTCTTCACTGTTGACGGTGCAACAGGTAAAATATCATTCAATTTGTTTTTTTACTCCGACAGTCTAAAAATATTTCTAAAATGTTCCATTCTGTATAGTGCGAGCACTAAATCCGTGAAACAAGTAGGACTGATTAAGTGTTGATTAGAGGAATATAAAACAAAAGAATTTATACAATTGAGCATCTATTTTGTGCCTTCTGTATTTCACGGATTGAGTATGTGCATTTTATCACCTCCAACTCTCCTTCTAAGTCATTCATTGTARGCCATTCCTTTATGTTTGAGAGTCAGTTGCGGTTATTTTTGTCAAGTTTTAGAGTTCCCTTGCAATTAGTTTTTGTCAAACATGGCTCCCGCAAAAGATGGAACATTAAAAAGTTCAATAATTCGTTAAATGTTAAAACGATTTTCAATTTAGTTATAATGGACTTACAAAAGGTAAAGTTCTTTAATGATTTTTWAAAAATTTTTCTCCAGGTCACATGACCACATTGACAACACTGGACAGAGAGACGCGCCCGTATTACAACTTCATGGTGTCAGCGGCTGATATCGCTGGCCAATCGTGTTTCACCAACGTCACCATTCATTTAGATGACGTCAATGATAATCATCCGGTGTTTAGCCAACGTCGCTACATCGCGTCAGTCTACGAAGACGCCCCACTGAAAAAGGTCCTCCTACAAGTCAAGGCTGAGGACCCTGATGTTGGCGTAAATCGTAAGATAACCTATACACTAGTGTCAGATGCGAAGGGAACGTTTGAGATCGAGTCTGGTACAGGAATGATATCRCTTTCTAAGCCCCTCAATAGAGAGCGCCAGGAGAACTACACCCTGCAAGTTAAGGCTCAAGATGGCGGCACCCCATCATTATCATCCACGGCTTTCGTTGAGATTCAAGTGTTGAATATTAACGATGTTCCTCCTGAGTTTTCAGCCAGTGTTTATCGTTGTAATATCAGTGAGAATGCACTGGAAGGAGAAAGGGTTATCACCGTCCATGCCATCAACCGAGAGTCGAGCAAAGATGACATAACGTACCGTATCTTAAAAGGACCTGACTCTCATCTCTTTAGAATTCGTAGCCGATCTGGAACTATTCGACTAAAGAGAAGGCTAGATTACGAAAAGGAAAAATCGTATACRCTAACAGTTCAAGCAAGTGACAGTGGACCACCTGTATTGACGAGTACAGTCTTAGTCAAGATTGATGTAACGGATGCTAACGACAATCCACCGATTTTCAGCGAAAAGCAATATTTGTCGAAAGTCGAAGAGAATTCTAACCCTGGTACTTTTGTACTTCAAGTATTTGCCACGGATAAAGACACTGGTTCTAATAGTAAAATACAGTATTCGATCAAATCTGGTAATGAAGAAGGTATGTTTGACATCAATCAAGCTACTGGTATCATCAGCGTAGCCTCCTCTATCGACAGAGAAGCCGTAGCAGAGTTCAGACTAGTAATCCAAGCAAGAGACCAAGGAAATCCTTTTAAACAGGCAGAAACAGTGGCTAAGATAACTGTGAYGGATATCAACGACAATCCACCGACTCTAACTCAAGGGAACATCACGGAAATCATTAAAGAAAATATTCCCCTGCACTCGACTGTTTACCATTTAATGCCACTTGACAAGGACAGTCCCGGTAATGGCGCTCCGTTTACTTTCACTTTGATCTCTGGTGGAAATGGCATGTTTGCTGTCGACCAAACCAAAGGAGTGATTACCAACGTGAAGCCTGTGACACGAGGCGACTACAAGTTACGTATTCAGATGATTGATAGTGGACACCCACCTCAAAGCAGTGAAGTGTCTGTAACAATTAGAGTCGTGGAAAGTGTAGTTCACCCGCCTGTGGTCGAACCGCTGACAATCTACGTCAGCCTTTACAATTCGTACTTTAATGGTGGAGTTATTGGACGAGTGAAAGGAAAAGACAAAGATGGCGATAAACTCTCCTACTCACTAGTCAAGACAAATCGACAATCATCATTGAAAATCGATAAAGAAGGCACAGTGAGTGCTCTACAGTCTTTGGCCAGCGGAGTCCATAAACTGAACGTCAGCATCACAGGCGGTGGATTTACCGTCTATAGTCACGTGACTGTGGTTGTGTCTGACGTCACTGAAGGGCTTCAAGAAAACTCTTTGACGTTGCGGCTGTACCAAATGACTGCGGGCACGTTCGTCGAGAAGAACTTTGAAAGGTGCAAGTCATTCTTCGCACGATTGCTTAATGTCCCTCCTGAAAATGTTCATATTTGGAGTTTGCAATCTGCTGACGAAGATCTTGACGTGGTTGTGTCGGTCAAGAAGGCACGCAAGGTATGCAGTAATGGAATAGAGAATTTGATGAATGAATGATTGGTTAGATGAACGGCGAAATAAATAAATAGATGAACGAGTTAATGAATGGAAGAATGAAATGAAAGAATGGTTGAATGTGCGGATGGATAGATGTATAAATGGATGAATTGATAACTATTTGAATAGGAAAAAATGAATTGAATAGTAAATGGAAACTTTTCGCATTTCTAGGGTCTTTTTGAGTCTTCGTACATCGCCAAGAAGTTAAACGCCTCCAGAATCCTTTTCGAGAGAGGTGTTGGTGTTCGTCTGGCATCAATCGGTACAAGTCAGTGTAAATTACTGGACTGCCCCAAGCATCTTACCTGCAGTGATGTTTACAAACCAGAAAACAAACAACTACGAATCATGTCGGACAAGACAAGTTACATCTCTTACGAACACTCGAGGAGTCATACTTGCACGTGTAAAGACAAGTCTGGGGGTAGGTTTCCATAGAAAAATAGTGACGTAAATGAACAGTTACTATAGTAACGTCAAGTCATCTTTGAGACTTGTGGGAAGTGTTTATATATTTTTGGCTCTGTTTCAGTTTGTGGTGCTGCGAAGCCCAAGTGCTCAACMAAACCCTGTGCACCAGGCTACACATGCACGGATTTTCCACAGGGATACCAATGCAAGTGTTCTGATGCTACGAAATGCGATATGGATGCAAAGGGATGTGAAGATATGTCGTGTATTAAAGGTATATAAATCATTTATAGAGACTAGGACAGATTATTCGCCAATCCTTTTACTTGGGTATAATACTGCAGCAGCCGAGTTCTCAAGTTATAGTAGGGTCTGAAATTGCAGCCAGAAAGTTTGATTTGCTAAAGATCAAATCGTCGTTCGGGTACTTGTGGGAGGAATCATGATAAAAACAGTTGTGACGAAAGTTTAAATCGTATTCAGCGATTCAAGTTAAGATGGGAAAGTATGGAAAATTGTGATAACACAAATTTGTAATTATTTCTTATAATTTCCGTTTCAAAGGTTCCAGTTCCAGATCATTCAGAGGCAATAGCTACATGCGTTATCGACTAAAAGAGACTTTCAACCAGCCATCACGATCCGTTGGTCTTGCAATCAAGACTGTTAAGAGTGAAGGAACGCTTGTTTTTGCYGCTGGACCATATGACTATAGCATACTTGAGGTAAGTTATTTTGAGTTTGGGACGTTGATACCTGATGATGAGAGTCTGATGATGATGATGAAGGATGATAGTCAGGTTCTTATACTGTCATAATATTCATCTCTCTAGATCGTTAAAGGCTTCATCCAACTACGTTTCGACTTCGGCAGCGGTGCWGGTGTTGTGAGCATTGATTGGTCACCGGTGAATGATGGGAAATGGCATCACGTGGCTGTGGAAAGACAAGGCAACCACGCAAAAGTCATACTGGACCACGGAAAGCACCAGGCCTCGGGCCAGTCTCCCGGAAGAATGCGCATCCTAAATCTTAAAGAAAACTCGATTTACTTTGGTGCTCAAGTCAATTCCAGGGTTAARCGTGCAAACGATGCTGTTGTAAAGAATGGTTTTGTTGGYTGTATGCAAGACCTGAATCTAAATGGAAAGGACTTGCCTTTGACAGGCTCTAACGACCATGCCACAGGATACCCAACCAATGTCAAATCAGGGTGTAGTACATCAAGAGCGTGCAGTGTACGGAACACATGCCCACGSGCCAGTAAGTGCATYGAGACGTTCACKGGGCGAAGATGTGACTGTCTGCCTGGACACTCAGGASCAAATTGCAAGCCATTTGTCACGTGCTTAGATAAACCATGCAAAAACAATGGCGTTTGTAAAAGGGATAGCATTGATGGTTATACGTGCACATGTCCAAAAGACTACACAGGGTACCAGTGTGAGGTGTTTATTGGCTCTTGTTCAAGTTCACCTTGTATGAACGGTGGAATGTGCCAACCCGAGAAGTCTGGTGACTACAAGTGCATCTGCACTGATGGTGTCAGCGGCGCTAACTGTGAGATTGACAGGCGACCCTGTTCATCCAATCCGTGTCTGTTCAACGGGAATTGCACTAATCACGGAGACGACTACAAGTGCGCATGTCCATCTGGTTTCTCTGGTAAAAACTGCAAACAAGGATTTCACTGCAACCGCACACCATGTCTTAATGGGGGCTCATGTGACGAAGAGAATGGTCGTTCATTGTGYGTATGTCCTGAAGGATACACTGGACTTGATTGTGGCCAAGATGTCAATGAGTGTACTAGTAATCCATGTAAAAACAACGGTGTTTGTGTCAACACTGTCGGTTCGTTTCACTGTAATTGCTCGATGAGTTCGTATGGCGGTCCGCTGTGTGGTACAGTGTTAGCTGCAGTTACTCCTGACCAATCAAAATGGCCGCTGAGCATGGAAGCCATTATCGGGATCGGTGTYGTGCTGGCTGTGTTGCTATTGCTTGTTCTAATTATCGTCATTGTACTTCGCCGACGTGCTAGACGCAAACGCGCGTTACCACGTGATGCTGACAAAGCCAATCGTAACTCAGTACTCAAAGTCTCMCCTCCAGTAGTTGGTTCAGACTTGAACTCACCAACACCACCCACCCCTCCYCCAAGAATTCCTGAYGAACAACCACCGGGCTACGAAGAAGAGGAGACCTGGAAACGACATGATAGCTCACCACAGTCATTTGGTACAAGAAAATCATTAAATAACTCTGAAAGCAACGTGGAGAAATATCACTGGGATTATACTGACATACCAGGGGATTTGGTTCGTCAACGACCTCTAAACAGAGAGCGTTCTGCTAGTTTCATGGGCGTACCCGACGATACAGCTTATGATGATGATGATGATGATGATATACCTCGCATCCCTGAAAGGTCCGCTAGTATGATGTCCTCACACAGCTCTGGTCTTGATGCCCCCGAAGTCCCTCAACGTCCCCGCAACTACAGACCATCGGAATCTGATGACCAGCATCTCGAGGTACCACCAATGCCACGACGAAGAAACCAGGGCCCGAGGTGTCCCAGCTCACGTTATTCCATGGATTCAGAGTACTCTGATATGACTGATTTAGATTACTGTAAATCCGTTGGGGGTGATAGTGCGTACCCTGATTTGTTCAAAGGAAGATTCCCACGTCCCCCYAGGGAACCCTACCCGGAAAGYGTCGATACGTTACCAGTAGGTCCATACACTTTGACAAAYGTTCGTGATTCTGAGATTGGTAGTGTGACCGACTTCTCCGAGGATGACCTCGAACGAGTTTACCTGGGAACAAGCCGAATGGAAGCCTGTGGGGACTCCCCTGAAAATACCTATTTGCATTCTGAGAACGGAGATGAGGACTTGGACAGTGAATGTGGTCTTCAACCTGAAGATCCTGACTTCCATCAGACTTTGCAAAATGAAATCAAAGAAATGATGAATCAGTTAGAAGAACTCAAAATGGAATCAGAGTTATAGTAGATCTATGTTTATATTATATTAGAACCCCGTTAATTCGAGCCAACCTCTTTAAAACGAACAGACACTTCGTGTCATTGCTGTAGTCCCGTGAACAAAACCCTTGTCAAACCGAGAGTAGTGCTCACTGAAAAAGTAAATTCTTTCTTTTAAAAACAACGGTTTTGTTGAAATCATGGGTGTATTTTAAGTATTTTTGATACGTTAATAGTTTGTAGGCTCTKTTTGAACGGCGAATCTTTCATGTTTGTACCTACTGATTCTCGACACATGAAAGGACGGCGTTTGAATACTAGTAATTACCAGAAATCGTTTTGCACAACAAGCAATGATATCAGATTCTGTTTCACTGTTTCGCTTCGTTTGTTTCTAGTTAGACGATTTGCTTGTTGTTTCTGTGTAAATATTAATGAAACGAAAATACTTCAAATTTGTTCTTGATTTTTAACAGTTAGCCTTATATTTTGATGGTAGATTTTGTATTTTGTACGACCATTTGTAGGCAATCTTTCTTAGCCATTTTTCCAAATTGATATTTAAAACGAGGTTGACAGCCTCTCAAACAATCACAGTTTTATAATCGTTAAGTCATGAGTTGATAAGATATTTATCGTTTTAGCATCAAGAATTGTTTATATTGCTGTACATTGAGGTAATTTATTTTTGTATATCACGTTTAAAATAAAGTTAGAACTATGTTTCACATACAGCTAACGGCGCTCTTCGAGTAATTTTGTATCTTTTATAAAGAGTTTTGTAACAATGCTGTGTTGCAGACAATATAATAAAGCTTATGTTGACTTGAACACGCTGATACTTGTTGCAAARTAGCGTTAACTGCCCGTGTTAAGGCCCATTTTTTTTTTTGCCAAATCTCACAAGTGTCGAAATCATCAGAATAACAAGACTGGACTCGGCACGTGTGAGATTCGACGTATTATTAAATAGAACAGGGCTGAAACAATGGATTTTAGATCATTGTTAAAAAGAAAGGGAGTGAAATAAATGCAATGAAAGTGAATACCCCGACAGCAAAATGCAGACGCTTTAAGAGCGCTTACACAGACCCCGAGAGACTCTGTGACTGTTGGATAAACGCTTCTCGTGCTTCAGGTCTTTTATCAATGAAAACCGTTTTGCTGTCTCCCTGTTTCCCTTTCCTTATTCTACAAACTTCTCTAATAATAGACTATGCTGAGTGTGTAGAAAAGAGAGRATTTCCGAGAGGCATGTAACTAATGGGCAAAACTAACGCACAAGGTCTATAAAAGCCCCTGCGAAAAACGGAATTGTTTTTTCTTTGTAACGTCTTTATTACCAAAGCCTGAAAGAAATCTATTGTGAGACTAAGAAAGMAATATTGCGTGATCGGTTACCATGGAAGTTAAACCGTACAAATCAGCTCATGAGTCCGACTGCACGATATTCTACGGTAGGACGACTCCGATACGGCAGGTCTAATCAGTTTCAGACTTCATGGACTCGGGGAGGTACTGCATGATCSCAATCTAGTAAAAACTTTGATGAATCTAGAGACGAAATTATGCGGATTTGATGTGTCCATGATCCATTGGTGTGGGGGTTCTATCTAACCATTAAGCGTGGCATGGCTTGGCTTTTTTTGGGTGTTTTTATTTTTAAATTTAGAATCTTATTACAGTGATTAGAGAAGGAGATAAAATTAAATAAAAATAGATAAAAAGGAACAAAAATAACAATAATAATAATAAAACAAGAAAAGGAAGAAAAAGAAAAACGCGCGCGTCTGTAGTGGGACTCGAACCCTTGACAAAAACTTCGAAAAAGTTTGGGACGATTCCCCCGAGACATTCCGTGAAGCTGAGGCGTCGAATCGATTTACATTYCGGTTAGAGATTTYGGCTCTTCCATGCTATCCCGATAATTGGTCCTAACTTCGCGCTAACTAAAAAGCCAGTGAGGGAGAMGCTATCCGGCCCCTAGACACTGATGGATAACCCCTTGCACTAACTAGGCAACTATCGAAAATATAATGTCAAATTGGGGTAGTCTATTCGGTGAAAGTGTCAAGTGGTCTATTATTATGTAAATGAGTGTGGTCCAATGGCGCAACTTGTTAAGGCGCTGTTCTTAAATCAAAAGGAGCCGGGATCGACTCGGGTCGAAGTCAGTACGTATCATACATCCCCAGTTGCATTAATTTGTCATCAGTATTTTTTATTCATATCTCTTTAAGTAAATGTTGTAATGATTTTTTCACCTTTTATATCATTTTATCATTTTCAATTAAAAAACAAAAAAATTGTTCTTTTTACTGTTTTAATTGAAACCGAGAGAGACTGAGTCCGATAACCAGAATACCTTTCGTGCTCCAGAGCGGAAACGGTCCAAAAATTACAATTTTATCAACGCCGCCGAAACTAGAGTTGTTTTGCTGTCTGAAAATTTACAGGTCAATTTTCCCTTCTATATTTATTCAACGCGACAAAGAAGGAAAGTATTGGAAAACGAATACTCGATATGGAAGCTAAAAAGTCAGTAACACATTTGAGAACCAGTGAAAAAGTAAGTTGTATAAGCTGAAAGCTGTTTTTCCTGCTCGAGTTTTCCCGGTAAAATACTTTTGCTATGAGTAACAGTCTGTAAAATATTGATTAAAAACTTAATCAGAATGGGGGATTATTTTGTAAATGATCGCCGATATGTTTSTATTATAATTTATTATTAAATTGACTTAAATGATATTAATTTTGTCATTGAAAGATTAAGGTATAAGAACTTTGATGTTAAGTTTAACGTACCAGGTATATTTTTTGGCGTAAGAAAAATTAGAAAGAAAATTTCAGTTTGAAAAAATATTGGGAAAATGATTTCTGAACTGAAACATGTTTCTATAGTAACAGAATGATTGTATTAAAGCATTGTGTTGCCCAGAGCTGACAACCAGTCTGGTTGTCCAAAGTTTGATTTATGCTTGTCATTCATTAATGCTAATTAACCTAGCATTACCTGTCCTGRCCTGTGTAGCATATAGGGCCTTCACAGTGCTTTTACAATTAACCCAGGGTTAACTATCAAAAAACCTATGGTGTAAACCTGGATTAATGCTAAATGAGGCTTTGAACTGGACAGCTCTATTTGCTCTTTATTAGCTCACAGACTATTGTTAGCTAAGGAGGTCTTGCCCCATTTCCTATCCCCCAACATCACAGTATCACTTTGCGCTTACAATCTAAAATTGCTTTGTAGGTATTGAAGTCTGTAGTGAAATTATTTGTACAAATTTCTACACCAAATTACAGTATGCCTTGGCAGATGAAAAGGCAGCAACAAGTATTTGGATCAGGTTTTGTTATTTCAAACAGACGAATACTAACAAATGGTCATGTAGTTGCTTACCAAAAATCTGTAAGTAATCCAGAAAATATTCCTTTATTTCATTTTTTTTAATGTCTCATTGTGGTCTGCTTGTTTTTTTCTTTTTTTTWAATTTTAGGTAAGAGTACGTAAACATGGCGATGCTAAGAAGTATAATGCTTATGTGAAACACGTCGGCCATGAATGTGATATTGCAATGGTAATTTCATGAGTGTTATTAATTTATTTGATTTAACTTGTAGTAATTTATAAAGTCACCCCTTGGTATCACATTATGTACAGTATTATGCATTTTTCTGTAATTGTCTATGTAGTATAGGGCTTTTACACGTACAATTACTGATGAAAATACTCACTGTTCTTTAACACAGCTTGGTGTAGAAGATGAGCAGTTCTGGGAGGACTTGTATCCGTTACCATTTGGGAAAATACCAAATTTGGAGGAAGATGTTGTATGTGTTGGATTTCCWACYGGTGGTGACAATATAAGTGTTACAAGAGGAGTWGTATCACGTGTTGAGATGCAGAGATATGCTCATTCAGCAGTGGAACTTTTAGCTATACAAGTAAGTAATCTTCTTACTAACTTGTAATCATTTTGATTACAATAAACTGGTTAAACTGGTCTTATTCAGGTTGTGCTTACATTATTAACTTTACCACTTTTTCTCTCAAAATTAAACCTGCTTATAGATTTTCTGTAGTTTTGCTGTTTTTATTTTTTCATCTGGATCTATTAAMTTATATGATTTTTTCTTACTTATCCTATTAGATTGATGCAGCCATAAACAGTGGCAATAGTGGTGGACCTGCATTACAGGATGATAAGTTGATAGGAATTGCATTTGAAACACTGGATAATGCTGAAAACATTGGATATATTATTCCTGTAAGTTGATTTTATCATCATCAATCACCAACAACAATAGACACTATCATTTATTTGTAATATTATCAAATTATCATTATTGCATAAGTTGATTATAAATAATTACAGTTTTATAAATAGTTGTAAAATATGTTTAACTACCATGTTGTTTTGACCACAAGTTATTATTCCTTACAAAGTTATTAAGTATTGTTAGAAATAAAAAAAAATTAAGCTAAATTATTTACTAAAGGCAAACTTTTTYAGCAGTCTCCATGGGAGCTCTTCTTTTTGCTGGCAAAGAAAGCTCAGCAAAAACGAAAGGGCTGCAGAAAGATGACATTAACATTTCTTTCATTCTTTTGTTTTTAGGTATCAGTGATTGAGCACTTCTTAGAAGATATAGAAAGAAACCAACACTATTATGGTTTCTGTAAACTCGGTGTAAAGTGGCAGGCTATYGACAGTGAACACATGAGGTCTTATTTCAAGATGACAAGCTGTCAGACAGGGATTTTAATTTCAAAAGTTTTAAATTTATTCAGTTGTAGTGGCAAACTGATTCGCGGTGATGTRCTGATGGCTATAGATGATGAGWCCCTTGCTGATAATGGAACGGTAAATTTACATTTAAAAAAATTCCTCCTTATCCAACAGATAAAGTCYATACAAAATTTAAGTGGATRATTTTAACTGGRGGTGGATCCACCCTTTTTGMAAAYGACCCCAGCATGCGATTGAAGGTATACCATGAAAAGCAAGTGTAACTTACTTTATAATTTCGCAGGTCCATTTCCGTGGCAATGAGAGAATYCTRTTCGACTATCTTYTATCCAAAAAGTTTGTTAATGATGACTGTAAGCTGACTATAATGCGTCAAGGCAATGTAATAGATGTTAACATCAGACTCGATAAAGTCACTAATCTGGTWCCWACYCAGCTWTATGATAAAAGGCCAAGGTGATGACTTACTATTGGTTTTCTTTTGAACAGCGTACACAATGCGTATAATTGTCTTCTTATATAGTTTCTTGTACCACCTTGAAAGGTAACCWTGCCTTTGCATTAAAGAAAAGCAACCTGTGAGTTTGCAATAAGAGATACTTGAAAATAATACCATGGTAGATTAAGGTATAAAAGACAGTGATATCTCTTTTAGATACAGGGGCATGGTTACTGTTCAAGGTGGAAACCATGAAGAAGATAATTGTTTTTAACCAGGTCTGTCTGTCTGTCTGTCTGAGAGCTGTCTTTATGTGMTGTGATGGTYMAARTCAAAGCCCTACTAATGCATCTGTTCTGTTCTTTTAGTTTTCTGGTTTTCGCAGGGTTGGTATTTGTTACTCTTTCCCAGCCCTACATGCAACATCAATATGGAAAAGACTGGGCACGAAAAGCACCTATCAGGCTGTGTGACCAAGCTTTATATGGAAATCTAGAACAGCCTGACCAGGAAGTGATTATACTTAGCCAGGTAAGTATTGTTATATCAGAGCTTATCTCAAAGCTTGCATACAGTACATGTGGAGAATATTGAATATTGAATTTCTTTTTAATATTTTCAATTTCTATGTTTCATTGTATTTTTTTTTTCATCCTTATTTCCATACAGGTGCTTGCTTCTGAATTAACAACTGGTTATGAAAATCTTTCCAATTTACAACTGTACAAGGTGAATGGTAYTGCTATACTCAATCTCAAACACTTAGCATCTGTACTGGACCTTATTACTGGACCACTTTTAGCCAACATTAACAATGACTCAAGTAAAGACATAACCGAGCAGACTAGTATACCAACTAGGTCATGTGTRGATCTTAGTCACTCTGAGAATGATAAAACGTCTCATGGTTTACATGAACGGGAAAGAGCACAAGTAAAAGATGAAKACTGTACAACAWCAAGGAATCCCAGAGACGACTTATTACAAGGTGAATCTACCAGCACTGCATGCGAGTCTAGATCTATCACCAAAGAAAGACCGGGAACACTAAATATTGTGCCAGCTTCTGGGACAGTAGCCAGTTCAGAGAAGGTTTCAACTGATGAAGAAGGATTTTCTTATATTCCAAGTCTGCGGGAAGGAAATGCAGGACTTGAAGAAGACCCAACACTTCTCAGTAGAGGGGATTATTTGCATTTTGAATTAGACAAAGATAAAATAATTGTTTTACAYATCTTGACGGCATGCAAGCACTCATCTGACATACTAAATCAGTACGCTATTGGACAGTCTCGTTCAGATGATTTAATCAATCAATGAATTTTATGAAATATTGGAATATATTTTCCAGTATTGCAATTAGGCATATAATTATATACACACCTATTTGCAAAAACATTGTCAATGAGAAATAGATCAGTAAAAGGAAAAACATTAAAAAAAGACAAGAAAAAAGTCCTTGACCAGACTGATMTTTTCTTTAYAATAACTTCCTTTTTCACTGAAGTTCAAAATGTTATAAATCTCTATGGCAACATTTTTGCAATTAGGTGTACAATTAGGTGTAAGATATTGTAGGTAAACGTATTTTACTGATGTTTGTATTATTTATAAAACAATCTCTTAATATATTAAACAAGGAAAACTGATAGTGTACATTCTATCACTACCGTAATCTTTAGGGGTTGAGAATGGAACCTAAAAACCTCAGGCTTAGATTTTTTGTGAAAAATATTGGAATATATACCTTCACATCTTCTATTTCTCAGTATASAAAAATATTTATATTGTCATAGGAAAACTAATATGACTATATTGTCATATTAGTGATACTAGTATTATTGCCCATGTATGAGAATCATTAAGTTATTATAGCGTTTATTAGACTCAAACATTTTGTATATAATACTTTACAAAAATAAATATACAATTATTGTATAATAGAGTTATTTACATTTTTATATAACTACTTTTTAAAATAAAAAAAACTGTTAAAGTAGTAAAAACAGCATCTAATAGATGACTTTAGATATTTTGGTTCAGTGACCATGCACAAAAGAATTGCAGACGAGGCTCCGGGGAAATAAAATAAATCAAGATTATCCTATGTTTTCCCGGAGACTCTAGTGCGTTCTTTTGTACATAATCATCAAACCAAAATATCTAAAGTTGACTACTATTACTACACTTGTGTGCTGATTGGCTGATTAGAGTGTGTCAATTAGAGAACATACACACTGTGACACTCACTGTGACACTCACTTGTTCGCTCAGTTGAAAAATAAAAACAAAAGAATGTAAAAACAAATTGCACACATTTCAGGGGAMATTCAACTTGAAACTGTGTGTAAATTCTTAAAGTGCAGATTGTCATGAGTGTTTCTCAAATCTTCTTTCATGATATAGACATTTGTATGCTGGCTCTTTTGAAAAAGACAAAAATTAAGTTTAAGTTTAAAATGTAACATGCTTACACTTCACTCACTAACCTGTATTAGAGGGACATTAAAGAACCCACACCACTGTTCGCATAAGAGTAGGGAATGATTCCCGGTGTGTGTGGCTAGGCCTTACTAATAACCCATACTAATTACTAACCCCTCATGATTGTAAGCCGCGTGGCTGCCAATTGCGCCTTAAACAGCGGTCCGTGTGAAATGATCTATACATGTGAAGCGCCTTTGAACTCAGAGGATATTGGCGCTATATAAATACCACTTATTATTATTATTATTATTACAGCTGTTTGCAATAATTCTGACCCCCTCTGCCATATTTCATATATATCAAACTGACCTTAAATATTATGGGATATCATGACTGATATATTTTTTGAGTTGCCCAGAATGAGTACTTTCTCAAAAAAATATCAGCATTGGTATCCCATAATTTCTGAGGCTACTTTGATATATATGAATATTAGTGTAGGGGGGTCAGAATTATTGCAAATAGCTGTATATACAGCCTTTTGCAAAAATTATGAGAATTGTCGAAATATCTAAATATCATAATATCAATTGCATGATAGGTAATCCCACGCGATTCCCGTTTGTCCTTTGTCTTTGTAGTTTAGCTTTTTCGGCGGTGACGGACTTATCCGTAGTTCTGAACATTTTCTCGATGTCAACAATGAATTATTCTAGCAAACCCGCATGTTCTGGACAATATATGGATATGGATATTATGATATTTAGATATTTAGACAATTCTCATAATTTTTGCAAAAGGCTGTATACTAAATATATATACATGTAATACAATGTTATTAACAAGTAGAATAATATACAACAAAACACCTTGTAAGAATATTACATTTACCTTTAGGTACATAATAAAGCAAGCTGAAACAATATCTAATCTTGTTGACTTGCTAATTTAAACTAGTTTATCAAGTTGTCGCTTYGCRTTAACCTCRCTACTAATCTTAGGTAAATAGTCTGCTGGGAGGGGCTCTAGATGAGTTCTTAGTGGTGGCATATGTGAACTATYATGATGATGTTTGTCTGGTGATCGAGAACCAGTAAATTCATTTAGATGTTGATTCTCACTTGTCCCAATCRTTTCATTCTCATRATGAGCATATGAACTCTGGTCTTGAGATGGTTTAGAGTGAATTCTTCCTGGACTGGACTTGGATGTTGTTAGACGTCTATGACTACTCGATGATTCAGTRAGTCTATTTCCAGGTCCTTTACGCATGCCTGCTTTAGCTARTAAGTCTGCRATGTGATGCTTTTCCTGGTGATAGATATTAGAGAGATAATTGCAAATTAAAATGGCTATTACAATAACCCTTAATATCAGTGTCATGACAAGATTATCTACTACAAGTAATTACATGTTACTTGTATTCACAAAATAGGTAAGAAATTCATATGGTGCTTGATCAGTAAAATCACAAGATTTTTTAAAACATGCCTCRTACAATTATAGATACTAGTTATTGTTGCTATTGTTGTTGTAGTGAAACATATAAAGAACTATAGAATAAGATAAAATTTTAATCGGTATAATAGGCAATCTTACCCTTCTCTGAGCCATGCGCACATCACTAGGTACATCAGGAATAATCCATGCAATCAAGAACTTGAATGCAAACACAATATGCTGTAGAAATACAAATCAACAGTATTAGTATATTATTATTTTGTTCTCGATAATCCTGATTTCTATCACTAACCTCAAAACCAACTAATATCCAAAGTCTCTGGAAAACAGGTTGCTGYTTGATGATATACTCCACTGTTGTAACATTTTTAAAAGTATTCAATGATGTATGGTTTGTTATAGAGGAGTTTGTATATCCTTCCCAATTTTTGCCATAGCTTGATGTGAATGTTACCAGGAAACCATTGGTTACCACGCCAACAAYRTTGAGGAATTCCARGATACCATACCACATTCCTGTAAGACAACAAATTGTAAGTAATGGCTTATAAAATTTTCTTATTCTTGCACAGAAGTATTATGATTAATGTGTAAAAGCCGTAATACTGTCAAAGTTGGATTAGGTCTGTATTTTTCTGAGAAGTTTTAATCAATATTTTCAGTTGATATTAAACTTAAGGTTCCATATACTACCAAGTGTCCACTAGTTGGTAGTTGTATTTTGTTGCAGAACAAGTGTTTAMGTAGCAATGGTTTTGAATGATGGATCCATAGAATCTTACCTATATCCTGGGCACGGAATGCAATGGGGCGTCGGTTAGTCCATAATAGTCTTCTAGCATCCATCTTCATGTCAATCAGGTTGGTCAGCAGTGCAATCAGTGGYGCAAGTGGAAATGCTGCTGCAAAAAGCTAAAAAGAAAGCAAGTTTTGATGACTCAGAAGAATAACATGGATAACAAGATGTATGAGGAAAAGGAAAAGGACTTACTCTTGTCATTGTTATTATTGTAGTTATATRTTGCTATATACGGTAAGTAACAAATAAAGCAACAACAACAAGAACAATGATAAACACAGAACAGTATTGATGATAGAGAGAGATTGTGATGGCCTTGTAGTTAACATAAGGAATTGGGCTTTGCATCTATATGCCCTGGGTCAATTTCCAATAATGTCATGTCAACTTTACTCTCTCAGTGCCTCTCTGACCAGGTGTATGAATAGATATTGCCTTGCAGTCGTTAATATATTGTAGAAATTATGATAACTTGTGGTWGTACTTACCATAAGGAAGCCATATTGAAGAACTGAGAAACGAAAAAAAGACAAACATTACAATCAGATTTTAATTTTTAAAGACATAGTACTTATTGACAAGCTATTATTTGAATGATACTTATAATATGTGATATCGATACTAAGAACTCAGGTAATGAGCGAAAATTTAACTGCGATGTAATGAAAAATACTGACGAATAGAAAATGTGCAAAACGTTGCCATTGCAAGTCTGGTGTAACATCATCATTAGGATTAAAGTGTCTCTGCATGTTACCCAGACATTATTGAGTTGAATGAGTGACCAACCTAGTCTCTACACATATTAAATACCTTTTTCTGTGTACTCTGAAAGAGTGAAGTCTCCTGCTGGTTCTTTGTGCATTTCATARTCCAAATAATCTTCAGTTGTAGGATTGATTTCGTCTGCTTCCTCAACCCTATTGCCACGGCAGCAACGTTCACGAATGATGCGCYTGACAAAACTATAAAGGAAAAAATTGAGAATTATATCTGAATACCTTTAATTCAGAATTTTTGGTTGACAATCTAGTATCTGTTATAAAATGTTATCGAGAATAACTCTATCCGCAACCTTCATACAACTGACTGTTGCTTAAATGAAGTTCAAAACTCACGGTAAAATGACATCAGTGAACAGCTTCGGCAGAGGTTTCATAATCATCAACATAGCCACTTGCAATGATAGTAGTGTCATGCAGTCGTTGTTAGAACCACAAGCATCACTGTAAGATGACCCAAAACCAAGGATGCCTTGATCTGTTGTATCCTGGATAAGTCAAGCATAATTAATATTACAATATCTTAAAACTTGAAAGCCATCAACTGTATTGAAAGAAAAGGGGATAAGCTGGAAGAAGAACTTCACTAAGAAAAGGCTATTTTTGCTTTCAGGTACTKTATGGTTGATGGTGAAAATAACAGCACAAAAGTACTTACTCTTCTGAAGAAGGCAATGTAAAACAGTGAAGTGTACGAGTTAACAAACTGGAATCCAAACAGCTTAATAATCAAAGCATCATCATAGCTAGTCTGTGTTCTATGGTTTTCTGCAAAAAATTGAATAATACAGGCATGAATAATATTGCTTAATGGACTGAACAATGGTAGCAGAGATGAAAGCAATGAGTTTTACATGGAATATCATCTTTAGAAATTAAAGTAAAGTATTACTGCCTATATATCCTGGATATATATAGGCAGGAATGCTAGTACTGGACTTTTGTTGCTGCCCTGCATGCCAGTGGGTATTATAGGCATTGAGTAATAGATAATGGGTTGTGTATTCCAGATTACTCACCCCAATCAGTCAACTTCACAGCCAATAACTGATACACCTAGCACATGAGGGAACAGTGTTGTTAATAAAATTTGGAAATAATGAGCTGTAAGATATACATTTTAATATTCTTTCAAGGAAAGTTACAACAACATTTCTGTAATTATATGAACTACAGAAATCAATAGATAATCCACTAGACAGTGAGATTTCTATTGAATAATAACGATGATGATTTGATGATGATGATGATGATGGCTTAGTGTTCAGTGTTCTTATGGTTTTGAGTATCAGAGTCTCAAAAGCAACTGGAGTTTTGTTGACATTAGAAATACCACATGCAAGTTAGTGTGAAGTTAGTAAATTGCAAGTACCTTTCCCATAATCATGATAGAGCATGTGTTGAGAAAAGTAGATGTTATACTAGCGATTGTTGGTCCAAGGGCTCCTCTGTCTTTGAAAAAATCCTCTCTTGCAACGATTCTATACACAATAACAGCAAACAGACTGGCTAGAACAAGACAAACCTAGGGAAAAAACAACCGAATGAAAAACCACCATTAGAAATGTTTCAAATAAAGCATGTAATAGCTATACTAGACAAATTGCAATGCAATGAATAATTAAATTAGTCCCCTTTTCCATGTTGAAAGGGAAGCATGCCTCGCACCATATTTTACAGGCAAATTGTAGGTATATGTGTTACCGTAATGCACGCTCACAAGACATCTTGCTTTCAGATTCAAAGACAGAGTGTAAGAAAGGAACAGAGAACAGTAAAGGTGACTGTTATTTACCATGAATAAAAGAAGACTGAAGGATCCACTCATCTTAAAAACACGTCTTTTAAAAGGATAGAAAGGTTCATCTTGACCTGTTACTGGATCCTGTTGAAATGAATACATCAATACTATATACTATAATGGCACAAAATGTACTTCTTGAAATGGTAACAGAATATTATACAAGCTGCAGCAGAACTAATATAGTTTCAGAACTCATGAAACTTGATTATGAATCACTTTGTTACAACTAGCTACTTACTGGTCGGACTTCAGTACCATAGAACTCTGGACGGTTRGGTTCCTGGAAGATCACAAAAAAAGAGCTTCTTAAAATGAAGGTTCATACAATACCAGATTTCATGAATACCAAATTGGAATATTCTGATTGGTCTAATAGTTTATTCATCATCAATATGACTTTTTGAATAATGCAATACAAAAAGTGAAGTCAGCAGTCCATGTTTCACCATTTCTAATAGTTAGCACTGAAARTTTGTAAATATAATGGATAGCGGTCATATTCTGACCTGCTCTTCAAAGTTATCCACATCCCACTGGTAAGCAAGTCTAGCATTGGTTCTTTTCCAGTTTTCCAGGAATATTGTACCTGTGTAAAKYATAACAATGTTGRATTGTAAAAAATATCATAGATGGAATATCAACATATATTTGTATTCKTTATCAGTATCATTATTATTAATATCATTACCTGCAAAAATACAGTGATATTCAAGAAAGTTACAAAATAAACCTTGTCAATGACACTTACCCCATAAACAGATAATGAGAGCGAAATATGGTGTTATTTCGTTATCAAATGCATTCTTTGCCCATTTACTGATGATGTTGGTCAGTGTACTATTGGTTTGGCCATTCAAGGGATTGTCATTAACACTGAAAAATAAACGACATTTGTCACTACAATGGCTGTAAGTAGCAACAGCAATATGTCTTCTTGTTATTTATGGTGGACAAAAGAAGCTTTTGTAGATAAAATTTGAAACAAAACCAAAAATAGATTACAATTTTAGATTTCTTTACCACCAGATGGTTTTTGAGTGGTTTCCCAAATGTTTCTGTCAGCTTCTGTGTTAGTTTAGTTTGGCTCGGCACAAATTTAAACAATTAGAATTCTTTTCAATTTTTTCCATAAACATTTGCATGAAAGTCCAGTCCTCTTGTCCATTTAGGAAATATTACATCTATTTGGACCATTATCAAATCCCTTTTGTAAATGTCCCTTAGAGAGATATCTCTGACTGAATTTCTATCTGAATTAACTCTAGCGATACCTGTAATAACTTTAAGATGTTCAGTCAGTACACTTAATAATGAGACTAACCTTGAAGAACTTTGTAAATCATACCATTCCATGGTACTAGTTGAGAACAGAGAGAAAAGAGCAACAGAAGATAAATAAAGTGAAGCAGCACAAGCACTGCACTCTTGTGCATGATTATAAAGATAGTATCAGTACTATGCAACACAAGAGGTGTGCTATATGTTATCATGATTATTCATGCCCTAGTATTGCACATGCATGTGATATCAGGATAAAGTGTACTGCTTTCTGCTTCAATGCAGAAGACAAAGTAGCAAAACAAAAGAGCAAAGGTGAAGAAAGCTGCATGCTACTATTGCAGTATGGCACATGCTTGTGATATAAATTGTATCCATCTTATTTGCTACTTTATAGAAGACAATGAAAGTAGTGTCAGGAAAGAGCATACAAGGTATAATATGCATGATCTCCAATGAATTCTACATGCCTTATTTTGCATGCAACAATTTTTATGTTGAACTCTGGTATTACGCATGACAAAGGTGTGCTACATGCATAGTCATATGCATAAAGTCAAGTCCCAAGACTGTATGTGCTTTGTGAAAACAGCATAAACTGTACTGCTTGATGAATTGCAGTAGGCAAAATCATGAAAGAGAATAAGAGGCGTGTTGTGTGCTGTCCTGCAGAATGCAATAACTTCAAGTCCACTATTGCATCACTTGCAGACACAAAAATATGYAGCATTGTGAAAGAACAAAATAACATATAATGCCATCATGCATAGTGTAAACATTTAAGTCATACTCCTTGCAGAACCAGCACATTCAGATGCATTTATGACAAATGAAAGGTTGTCATAAAAGGGCATTTAGTGTGCAATATGTGCAGCATTACATATTGTTCCACAGTAAACAAAGTTACTCATAAAATAGATGCTATCATGTTTATGTGCTATCCAATCTAATCACCGGCTGACATAGATGATAAAAAWGAGTGTCAAGGTCTGATCTGCAAGCTGGACCATTTGCAGCAGTAAAWTTCTTATTTTTCATTTTTATTTTCTCTTCATGAAATAGTATTTCACATATGTGATGCCATTAATCATTCAGGGATGAGACTACAAGTACAATGCCATCCAGTGGAGGAGATTTCTTCAGTAGAGAAGAGAGTCAAGTATTCAAACAAAGATTTCATCATTTTCCTGTGAATTTTGTGGGTTTGTGCACTGTGAAATATAGCTTAATATGTTGCATATGCTACAGGCCACATCAAATGACTACATGTACTTCATGCATACAGTAAATTGATATTCTATTGTTTGCCAAGATACTTACGCAACAATTAATCCCCATAAGAACACAGCAAGCCCAAATAGCATGGGAATTATAAGGGAAAATGTCAAGGAACCTGCAAAGGGAGAACAGCACTTCAAAAAATATATTTAGAATAAAATGTTCATTTTATGGTATTTTAATAAAAACAGAAATAGGATGCTTTTGAAATCCTAGATGATTAACTACACAAAAAATATTCAAGCAAATTAATATAAAAAAAACTACATACCTAGCCATGCAAAGTATAAAGCAATTTTTTCTCCAAAATAGTTCCTGATTTTCCAAAGTGGTTGGAATTTAAACCATTTTAACCATGTGTGATGAAGTCTTTTACGAGGATCACTGATATCTTGACCATACAGCATGAATTCATTTTCATCTCCATCATCATGAAATGGGAATCTTTTGTCCTTTGTTGACTTCTCATGGACAATAAATGCATCGCTATATGCCCCTTCCAGTAACAGATATGGCAATCCTAAAGCAAACAAACCATTAATAACGAACAAGTTCAGCAAACTAATATATGCATTTGCCTAAAAAATTTGGTTTATTTCAATCACAAAAATATTATGTTTTAAAACATAAAATGTTAATAATCAAAAATATTTGTGTTATTTTTACACAATACATGGGGTCAAATTAAGATGCTTGGGAGAGTACATTTATAAGGGGCTCTAAATTATACTAAGTACCTTGGGGGTTTTGGCCAAGTTGTCTAGATTCCTTGTCTCTAAGGTCTATGGTTGTTAATATGCGATGTACCTATTAACGTCACCAAAATTGATTAAAATGGTTTTAAGATGCAACATAGACATAAAGCATGTGAGTTCTCTGATTCATGGTCAATGTGCTATGTTGAATGAGAGTTTGTATTTTCACAAAGGCTTTTGTTTCATAGAAATAGAAAAGACGAGGTAATTTTATGTCAAAATAACACTAAGATACATGAGAATGCTTTGAAGATCTGAGGAAATCACTTCAATATGGAGTTACTGTCTAATGATTATGCTTCTTGAATGTTCTCTCCAAACACCAAATGTGTTTTGTATAATAAGATGGCAGTATGTGGAATAAATTACAGCTACAGTATACAGAAAGCTGTTCTACAGAAAGCTGTTCTGCACAGCTGTTCTGTACATCAAATGCATTTTTCAATCCCCTTACCAATAAGGATCTAAGTGCAGGTCTAAAGAAGTAGTCTGGGTATTTGATTCCTTCATAAATATTGCTTTTTGAAACACAAAATGGTGCACTGATGAAATCCACTAAAAACAGAGAGAAAAAAGATGTGATATATCAATATTGTCATTTTGTCATACTGAGCTACTGTTTTCATGAATAGCTATTAATTCAAATCAGTTTAGGGAAATTATGAAGTCCAAGCTCAGCTATGGGCTTTAAATCAAGATTGGTTAAAATAACTCAGAAGAATACAATTATATTTCTAACCATCATTGTCTGTTTTGAACTTTTCTCCAAGTTTTGACAGCCAACTACGCTCACCAACTTCAGGAACAATATACTGTTAAAGAAGTGAAAAAATGAATCAAAACATGCTCATTATCAGTATGTTAGAGTTTTGTTATCAATTATTCATTGTTATTTACATTGTTTTATGTTATGTTATTTATAAAAATACTACTGAAATGTTTTATATATACCCCAGCTAAAGGCATCTCCAGTGCCACAAATTCAGCTTCAACGCAGAGCCTTTCAAAAGGACAGTGTAAAATTACAAAAGACTGCATAGCAGTGTACTTTCTTTCTATCTTGATGCCTTCCTCTTCAAGCACAGCTTCAAAGATTTCACGCAGTTTGCTATTTGAATGATTATGGTCTCCAGTTTTATGGACTAATACATAATCCGTATGCCATTTTCTATCTGTTGTGCCACTTTTGGATCTATTTATTGCTTGTTGRAGTGCWATRTGTCGAACATCTTTTGATTGTTCTGATGTTGGTGCTACATTTTGATGAAATTGAACGCTATCCATTGCTTCCTTCAAAGAATCATGGCAAAAGATGCGGTTGTTATTGCCTGTTGTTGATCTACTTCTCAAGTCATCAAGTGGGATATCATTTCCTTGATCTTCATCAATAGGAGTTGAAGGGTTATCATCATTGTAATATTCTTTATCTTGGTCATTCATTTCTGAATTTATTTTCACTTTTTTCTTCTTTCTCTTTTTTCTCTTAGTTTCTCTTATTTCTTTTTCTTCRTTGAGTATTTTATCTTGGTCACCAAGAGCAAAATAGTTGATTCCCTCGCCTTCACTCTCTCCCTCTGGAAATCTCCTTTCCTGAACATTATAAGATCCTTTCTTGTGAATGAGATCCATTGTCTGTTAAAATTGATTTGATTTGCTGAAGATGACAAACTTAATTGTCAGAGTATTAAATACAAAATTTGTAATTTGAAATCCTTATACACAATTGATGAAATGCCTTGTTGTGGCCGTGTAAACAAAATTAAAATACAGAACCAATTCACGCAAAGGCATCAACAGCTGACAATGAAAATAAATTTGTTTTCCTTCTTTCTGAAGCCCTTCTATCTTTCAAGTCCATCGGCTCTCTTCGACATCGACAAAACCAAATACATGTACAACAATGTTGCTTTTTTGTGTACAGATTCTTGTATATCTTTTCTTGATGAGCTAGAGTCGATAACAACCTGAGTTCAAAAGCTTGATTCAAGTGCAGTTTTCGTCTTGATCGAGTGACAAGTTGCACCGGCACTACAGAATTAGAAGTACGTTTTCCTCAGCAAAAAAATAATTCCTTTGTAGACAATGCAAACACTTGTTAACTGGAAGGAAAATCAGTTCATGTACTTCAACAGAAAGAGACAGGATTTGTATAAAGTGAAGCATTATGAAGCATTACAAATGAGATTGGTGTCGATTGGTGACTTCGTGTCCTCGGCAACCAAACAAATAATACAGCATTTGCATAACAATGAAATCTTTYCTGCAGAGAACCGTCTGCAATAACATTAAATTGCAAAACTAAGCACACTTAAAAATAAGATCGATTAAATGAGAGACATCTAAAAGAAGACGATTAGTACTCTCTGTACTCTCTATGTGGAGTATGACTTTTCGCGCCCAAAGATCACCGGAACACGAATATATTCCGACTACCTTCGGAAAGGTTTCGTATTTGTCTCGTATAGAAAGTTTGCTGAACAAATGTTTCGCAGGCCCGAGTAGTGACTCCAAGATGGCGGAAGGTGGGAAGAAAGAACGGGAACAACTTCAAGAAGCGGTTAGGGTCCAAGGAGAACGTATAAGACAACTTAAACTAACAGAACAGACAGATGAAGTGAAGGCCAAGGTATTGAGTGATATTTTGAAGCCATATTCATTGCATACTTAGATTAAATTGAATCTATTCCTAGATTGCATCATGTTAGAATTTTTAATGAATTTCTGCTTCACATGTTTTTTTTTGGTTGGAAGGCTTAAGGTTTGCAGTTTCTCTTTTTTCTATTATTTTATTTAATTTATGGTCGTGCTGTATAATGTTGTACTGGCAGCCTATAATGGATATTTCCTTGCTAGCACCCAGTATTTAAGATCAAGACGAAATGCACGAGGGATCCACTTTTTCATTGCAGACATTATGATGCTAGTTAGGAAATTACACAGACTTCAAACTCATATATTTCTATCATGTCGTCAAGCCACTGTCCTTGCTCATTCATACTGTATTGATAGCAAGGTTAGCTAYTCTTTTTCCTTGTTTTATTTGATTAAATATATTAAATACTGCTGTTCATTGTTCTTGAATTGTAGATCAAAGAAGAAGTAGGGAAGCTTCTTGAACTTAAAAAACAGCTTGGTGATGAAGGAAAGAGCCAAAAGTTTGTCTTGAAAACACCAAAGGTGTGTACATCGATCAAACAACAAAAGATGATGTGTCTATCAACCATGCTATTGCAAGAAAGTATAATTTGTTACAAATTGATTATTTATGATATCAATACATTTTCTAGGGCACAAGGGACTATTTCCCAACGCAAATGGCTATCAGGCAAAAAGCCTTCAATACAATCATTGGAGCTTTTGAAAGACATGGAGCTGTACAAATAGACACTCCTGTATTTGAGCTTAAAGTAAGTACTAAAGATATACATGACTGAATATTAGGCTCCCTGTGTCCCTCTGTCCACAGGAATCCCAATTTTAATAGCATACTGGGTCATTGATTTGTGACATTGGTTAGCTTTGGGTTTGTCTATACAGACATTATGCATGTGCATGTACATTGTGTACAAAAGAGGCTGCATGTATTTCCCAAACCATTTTGTAGTTGACTGATRGAATKTGACCCAATATTAACCACACAATGTGGGARAAACCCCTTCGCCAGGCTTGAGGRSATCTTACTTCTTGCTTGGTTTCAGGTTTCTTACATTAATTTTAATTCATCCCTAGTATTGTTTAACAAATGTACAAAATAATGAAAAACTGTTATAATAATAATAAGAAAGATATAAAGTTATTTAGTAGGCAATAATACTGGGAAATGTTTGAATACAGAGATGAATAATGACTTATATAAATGTATGATTTAAATGTTTTATATTTCTTGATTAGGAAACATTAACAGGAAAGTATGGTGAGGACTCTAAACTTATTTATGATTTGGCTGATCAAGGAGGAGAGATTCTTTCTCTAAGATATGATTTAACTGTATCCTTTACTGTTATACTGTTTATTTTACAGCTTAGGCAAAGTGAGAACTGAATTGCATAAATATTTTGCCAGATGAAATGATTTGCTTTTGKTGATGGTTGATATCTTCCAATGTTTGGCTMGTCAAAGTTCAGTTGCTGTCCCCTAGAAGAAAGGGAGTGATTGATGTTGTGAAAATATGWAATTATCATAGTTTTTCAGTAGTTGTGTATTCTTGACATGGCTGTAGGTACCATTTGCACGATATGTTGCAATGAACAAAATAGACAAAATCAAAAGATATCATATAGCAAAGGTGTATCGCCGTGACAATCCTGCCATGACAAGAGGCAGATATAGAGAATTTTATCAATGTGTAAGTAAAAGGCACAAACATGTTGAGGGTACCAGTAKTTATATTGGGCATGGTTGTTATTTTTTATTCTGACTTATGCATAGCTCAACAAAACACAGGGAAGAAGAAGAAGAAGACGTTAATCCCAATTTTCCGTTAAATCTCTGTCCTAACGCTCAAAATTCCATTTTCTTAGCTCAAAACATTAAGTGGCAGTTTTCTTTTTACCACTTCAATACTCTCTATTAAGACAAGTTAGTCAGTTATTTATTGCCAGGTTTGAATACTGGTAGTTAACAATAATCCTAAAATAATCATTCAATGGTTATAGGACATAGACATTGCTGGACAGTATGATGCCATGATTCCAGATGCTGAATGCGTGAAAATAGTGTATGAAATTCTTACAGATCTAGAATTAGGAGACTTCAAGATTAAGGTACAAMGTAAAGCTTTTAATGTCCATATATGTGTACAACATGCTGATAAGAATTGCCTTTTTAGGTTAATCACAGGAAATTTTTAGATGGGATGTTTGCAGTTTGTGGTGTCCCTGAAGATAAATTCAGGACTATTTGTTCTGCTGTTGACAAACTTGATAAGGTGAGGTTACATTATTTTGTGAATTTTTTCACTTATTCACATTGGCTACCTTAGACAAATGGAAAGCATGGCTTCCAAATGGCATTCTGTTTGTCTTTTGCTCATGTCCACTCATTTTATAGACTCCATGGGAAGAGGTCAGGAAAGAAATGGTTGAGGAAAAAGGGTTGAAATCTGAGGCTGCTGATCGTATTGGTGAATACGTAAAACTCAATGGTGGTATGGAATTAGTGGAAAAACTATCAGCTGATGRAGAATTGATSAAGAACAAACATGTCAAAGAAGCACTTGAAGACATGAAGTTATTGCTGAAGTATCTGGATCTGTTTGATGCTACTAATAAGGCATGTACATTAAATAACCCTAGTAGAGATGGTGTATTATTGTGTTGTTTCTGATGATATTTTGTTTTGTTCAGGTTGTATTTGATCTCAGTTTGGCAAGAGGTTTAGACTACTATACAGGCGTTATATATGAAGCTATCCTTCAAGGACAGCAACCTGATTTGGGGAAACCAGAAAAAGGTAAAAGAAGATTTTCTTTGATGGTTTGTCCCTGTTTTTGATCAGATAAGGTGTATTCAKCAGATTAAAAAATCACCTGGTACATCAATTTTTAATTAACTCAAGAGTATGTTTTTGTACATTCTTGACAGGAGAGCCAGTTGGTGTTGGATCTGTTGCTGGTGGTGGTCGTTATGACAACCTTGTTGGCATGTTTGATCCAAAAGGAAGAAAGGTGATTGAATTGTTAAATGACAATTGTTACTAGCCGAGTTAGCCAACTATAGCATAAGATCATAGAAAAGAAGAACATAATACCAATAGGCTATTTCCAACACCATTTTGTACCACACAGTATGATGCGAGTTGTAGTTCTTACACTTTTTCATAATCCCTAGAAAATCTCCCTAAAAGCTGTTTGTGTGTTTCCTTTGTAGAAAGGGCACTACTACTACTTTCATTTTCCCAAAACGAAAATGCAAAACCCTCTTAGGGCTGTTTTTACAGATGAAAGAGAGTCTGCACTATAGCTTCCATCATGCTTTGTTACACAAAATGACATGTCTACACATTGCCTATATTCTACTATCAGTGGCATGATATTAACAGTCACATTTTGATGATGTAGGTTCCATGTGTTGGAGTTAGTATTGGAATTGAAAGGGTGTTTTCTATCCTTGAAGCAAAAGCACAGGTAAATTTATTTTCTGTTTCATTTTCTGTTATTCTTTTGTGTCTGCCTTTGATAACTCATGCCTCATATCAACAGGCATCAGACAAAAAGACTAGAACCACAAAAGTGCAAGTCCTTGTTGCCTCAGGACAGAAAAACATGCTTGAACACAAACTCAAGTTGGTCAATGAATTATGGAGTGCAGGAATCAAGGTAATTATTRTATGAAAAATATGCCATAACAGGCTTAAAATATTGTAGATCTGAAATCCTTATTAGTGAGTTTTGTGTTATTATTGTTTTGTTATCTAATTGGGCTGTCTGACTCACTCAATGATGTTGGTATCTTTTTGACGTTTCGACGCCATTTTGGTCGGAGGAAGACAACCAAAATGGCGTCGAAACGTCGAAAAGATACCAGCATCAGTGAGTCAGACAGCCCAATTAGAGAACAAAACAATAAGGTTTAAAATAGATTTTCCCTTTGGTTACCTCTTTTCTGATTTTTTATCATCAGTTTATTTATATAAGTATTGTTTTGTTGGTACCAGGCAGAGGTTCTGTACAAGAAAAATGCTAAGATGTTAAACCAGTTCCAGTACTGTGAAGAAAATGGGATACCACTCTGTGTTGTTATTGGAGAGAAAGAACTTGAGGATGGAGTGGTCACATTACGTAACATGGAGACCAGAGATGAGGTAAATAGTCTCCTTCACGGTTACCATCTTGAAAGGTAGCCATGCCTTTGCATCGAAGCGAGACGACTGTTGAGCGTGCAATGACAGAAACCTTCTTTCACACCTACAGACAATTATTCACAGGTTGTTATATTATATGTACTTAATTATGGGTTTCCTGTGCTCTGATTAATAAAACCATGTGCTGGAATATGGCGTCTGACTGCTTGCAACCCACATAACACAGGTATCTATCATTGCACTCTCAACAGTTGTCTTGCTTCCATGTTAAGGCACGGCTGCCTTTCAAGATGGCGCAGGTATCCGTGAAGGAGACTATTGTTGGCAGAACTAATAGCAGAACTTTTGTGAACTAAATTTTTGGGCTTCCTGTATTGTCTACTGGCACAGGAATCCCACTAAAAATTAATTTATGACACTTTGCTCAAACATTGCAACTAAACATTGGTCTTAATCTTCACTCTAAAAGTAAAGCCAAGAAAGTACTGTTTTGTATAATCCTTCCCTTTTCCCATGACAAATACCTGCATTTATTATTTTGATAATGATTTGTTTTTGTTTTCTAGGTGAAAGTAAAAAGAGCAGAATTATTTGATGAAATAAATAAAAGATGCACAGATTTATAACTTCAAATAACAATAAGTAGCGGAATATATTTATTTTTTTGTTAACAACAATCTTAAGAATAACAAATCACTCACCAAAATGGTGTACTTTGTTTTTTTTAAACTTTCAATTGACAAAATATACTACTTAAGAACCACAAATAATAATAMTGATAATTATTGTGAAAGAACATAGTTTTATTCAATACAATAAATTATCAATGCTAAAACTGCCCAAAAACTGTCTTGATATTCTATATATTGCAGTAAAATGTTTAACTTGTACAAATTAAAACCTATGTTCACCTCTTTCTTAAAATTGCTTTTACTTCACTAAAATACCTATTCTATATTATTTCAATATCAAATGCTGTCAAACTATCCAGGACTCTTTAAACTACAAATRTATCTAGCATTCCATTATTTCTTTCCAAGCATCATTGAGTTCAGATTTCACMGTAAAGTTAGGTTTAAATGAAACGTCATCCTTGATGTCACAAGGGAGATCATCCAAATGYCTGACTATAAGATTGTGGTCCTGTAACATTGGAGGATAATGGATGCTRCGCCTCTCAAGTCTGACGGATCTACGAACAGGTGTCACTGTTGGTCTTTCACATGTCTTTCGTCTGAAACATTAAAGATAACTTGATAACAATTGTACTGTTTGCTAGTGACAAAGTTTGCCTGTTTTCATCTCATGGATTCAATATGGTGTACTGTTTTAGTCTCAACCACAAAAAAGGTGTTTCTTCTTTAATAGAAATTGGACTCTTAGGAAAACCACAAAAAAAAAAAGAATATAAATAAGTAGGCAAGCCAACAAACCTGCTTCTGTATGGAGTAGCCTTTGTCACACTATATCTGATGGTTGAAGATGGAGAAATGAATTCTGCAGTACAAGTTGCTTTGTTTGGTGTCACATGAGTTGGAACTTCACTTGGTTGGTGTAGCTGCTGTTGGCAATCTGACAATATATTACACATACATCTAGATAAATTCCTTTTTATCTTATTTATCTTACCCACTTCTTTAATGATTTGTTTTATAAACAAAACAGGGTAAACCCTGAAGAAGAAGACATTAATACTATTACCCGTATCGTTAGAAATTCCTGCTGTCATTGCTTGATAATCTTGTTTGAGTTTTTCTTGATTATTTTCTTGTAGTGTGTTTGTGTCCATGGTMAAAGTAGACATTTTCTCTTGAATAAGACTTGAAGGCTGCAAAGAAAGATAAGCTGGTAAACAAACTAATACAAACTAACACTTTACAATAGAGGAACACCACCCACCTCAGCATTAAAGGCAACTGCTTGTTGATATAAACACAACACCCTACTGTGGTCACCACTTTTTTTAGCTATCTCTGCCCTACAAACCCAATATTCTGCAAACTGAAGTGCCTCTTTGTGGTTCTTTGGTATTTCATCCAATTGGCAGGCCATCTCATCAAAATTATTATCTTCCTATATTAAAAATACATATTAATAAATTCGCATGGCATATATTCCCAAATATTAAGAAAATGAGCTCAGATGAAGAGTTTAGTTACTGATTTCAATCTTTCAAGATATTCTTGAATCTTTTCCTTGATGTTAGAAGTGGTTTCCTTCTTAGTATTTTCATTTTCAATCACTTGCAGTGGTTGACTCTGTTCTTTCTTTATTATTCCTGATTTTGTACAATTTTTGTTCTTTTCTTTGCTTGCACTGGGCTTTCTTTGCATTAATGGAGTCTTTGGCAATTGCGTTACTATTCTAGTAGTAGAAATCAAATTGGTGTTCATCAATATTATCAATGAGTTTATTATCGTTTAAAAAATAGAAAATTGGAAAAAAAGTCACATTGAACTATACCCTTTTTCYTTTCTCCACATCTCAAGTCTTTGTCTGAAATAAGAGTCATCATAAATTAATTTACATTGTAATGTCTGTTTTGTAACCCTTTTGTTTYATKGATTCAAGTGAATTCACTCTACTGAAGACAATAAGGGTTTAAAATCAGTTTTGACACTGTAAGTATTATATTATATTACCTCATTGATAAAGACTTATCATGTGTGTATGCTTTTGGAGGCTTGACTACACATGTCTTGTGGAAATTTGACTGTTTAGTTGGAACAGCACAGTTTATTGTTTGGGTTGGTTTCTTTCCTGTTGGTTTGGCAGCAAAAGTTGATTTTCTTTCTTCAGGTTTCTTGATTGAAGTATTCATACTTTTTTGAGGTGGTTTTGAAGTTTCTGGGCGTTTTATGGGAAYCTTTCTGGGCAAGTCTTTCTTGACACTCCTACTGGGTAAAGTTATTAGCAACTAAAGTTAAAAACTTTGAGCTTCTCAAGTGCTTTGTTTTAAACGGTTTCTATTACCTTTTAGGATGAATTTCTTTCACCTTCATGGTTTTGTTTTGTAGCTTTGGTTTCATTGACTTTGATTGAAATTTACTAAGAAAAGAAGACATCGAGAATATAATAAAAATGTTTCCAATGTCAYTCTGATCACATACACCGATATTTTCCATTGCACTGGATCTATATATATTATATTAAAGTACCTTTGACTTTTTGCTGCTTTCTCTGGTTTACTTCCTTCAACATCTTTAAAAGGATTGGGAGAATCAACAGTRAACGTACTACGTCTTGCTTTCTTTGCATCTGGTTCAGACTCAATTTCAAAATTACTTGGTGGATTTTCATTGAAAACCAACTCTTCTTTGGTGARTGTGCTTCGCCTGGATTTGTTGAGGCCAATGTCACTTTCAGTGTAAAAATTCTTTGGTGGGTTTTCACTGAATGTCAAGTGATTAGATGGGATTGGGTTTTGCTCTTCATTAGTAACCTCTTGTGTTTTCAACCTGTAATACATGTATATAAGTAATTTGAGCACTTCTAAACTTATCCTAAATAAACTCTTGTTGAAATTGAAAGTAAGCTTATACCATTTCCGACCAGCTGTCAGACTGCTTTTCGTGGTACTTGTAGCGTTCAGAGACTTTTTCTTCAGCTCCCGATTACMCTTGTTTTCTTTTGCCCTATGAATGGAGGATGATCCATAAGGCATAGATTTCCTTATATTTTTAATGCTTGGCTGTTGTTTCATGTGCGTTTCTTGACGGTTCGATGTCTTCATAGGAGTTTTACAGTTCAGCTGTTTCTGCGCCTTTGTTTTGCGCCATTCTTCTAACTTTCTGCGCATTGATTCTATAAATACGAAAATATTATGTATTCTAATGCATCAAAAAGAAAAAAAGATACTCAGAAAATYATGAAAACAGAAAATCAACACAAATTTACCTTGTGTTTTCAGAGACATCCTGGACGAAACTGTTCTTTCCGCCATTTTTCGAATTTTCTCAAAACAACTGTCTTTCTTCTGATTGGTCATGCTATTTTTAGCTCAGCCAATAGAATTCGAACATGCTTGTCGCTTTTACATGAAGTTTCAACCCCAATATGGCGGAAAAGTGAAGTAGAGAAACCAAACGCAAAAATCTTAAGTATAACGGGGGAAAATGGTCGAACAATTCTTCCAACTTGTTGAATACGGTGTTACAAATCCCTCACAAATTACTACTAACACGGAAAAACTTATTCCGGTCCTAAACATTTTGGATTCTAGCTCAGAACTTGTGAAAATCACTTTTGAATTTTATAAGCATGTCCGTCCAGTTCAAGCCAAAGCCCTATTGTCTAGTCTTAAYGATAGAGGAGYTCTGAAGGACGAGTCTTTGGTAACTACGTCATGCTTTGACTCATTCCTCTCTGGATTGTTGTTCAAAACAGTGACTTGTTCTGCAGTTCAGTGTACAAAATACTGCACACAAGTGTGGATTGATAGGTAAGCTTTTCAGGAGGGTCCCAACACTTGTACGCAGGCAACCTATTAAACAAGGTCAGGGTTTAATTCCGGAGTTATCGATGCTGGAACAGGGTATAGTTTCGGTGATTTTACTCTGGAACAGGATATAGTTTTCAGCAATTTCACTCTGGAACAGGGTCAGGGTTTTGAGGTCCCAGCGGCACATCCCCACCCAAGTTTGGGGGTAGTACCCCACCCGGGCAAAATACCCAGTGATACTTTCCACATTACTAGTATCATTAACAAAAGGTTATTGTTTTTCAGGATTACTAATGAAGAACTAAAAGCCATAAATTTGCCAAATCCTTTGCAGTACCTCAGTAATGCTAGACCAACACTTCCCACTTCAATAGATTGTTATTCCTTTCTTCAATTCAAAGCTTTGGATACCAAAGAAAGAAAGCTTGTCATCCTCAACTTCAGAAAGTTATCTAGCCTCATTCCTGCCTCTTTCTACCCAAGAATAGCTGTTGCATTCTATGTTTTTGTAGAGTTTTACAAAAATGAAAGTCAACTCCGTCCATTAAACCAAGAAATTTGTTTGTGGCTGGAAACATGGTACCACATGGTGGTGTCCAGCCTTTCATGTAATGTCCATGATGTCCATCGAAATAAAATACAACCACTCCACCACATTCTGTGCGCATTGATGTTTTCTACAAAGACTATAGACTTTATAGGGTCTTTGCCAGGTGTTTCAGCAAACATTGTGAATGGATTAGAGATACTTTTTGAGAACAGTTCTGGTTTGACAAAAAAATGGATTTCTACATTATTGTTAGAGTTTCAAAACAAGGACATACAATAAAATAAATATACAGACCTTGTAAACACTTAAAAACATCTAAGTAACTATAAAGCMAAAGAATTGTAATGTTTGTAAGAAAATCAATGTGTTATGACATTTCATCATGGTTTAAAGCACTRTGATGTTACTAAGTTGGAAATTTGTATACAATGTTGATATTTTTATTGATACATTGATAAATTATTAWATAATTAATATTTCTTAAAGATTGACAGGTCTGTCACCAAATTCAGTTCTAATGATTGCTTTTCCAAAYTGTTTGGGCATTTCAAGTTCTTTTGGRATAGGTTGGTCCATGATTTCAAGCATTTCTTTAAGCTCCTCTGCAATCTTACAATCCAAAGTKAGAAAAGATGTTGCAATTCCTGGATGACCCATTCGCCCTGTTCTGCCACACCGGTGAACATAATCCTCAATTGTATTTGGAAGATCATAGTTRATAATGTGACTGACTTCTGGAAAGTCTAAGCCTCGAGAGGCTACATCAGTTGCCACTAACACATCGACATTTCCATTCCTAAATGCATTTGCTACTTTAAATCTATACTCTTGATCCTTCTCAGAATGCAGTCCTGATGCATGGAATTGTTCCTTTTTCAATAGGTCTGTAACATAATCTACATTTTGTATTGAAGATGYGAACACTATGACYGGAGGGTAAGGGGTGGTACGCAGTGTTTCAAGTAGTTTTTGTGGTTTTTGATAGTGATGTAGAAATGATACACGTTGTTCTATGCCAGGTGCAATAAGTCCACCAGGGCCAACGTGAATGATAACAGGATTRAGMACAGCTGATCTTGCTAGTCTCTCTAGTGAATCAGGCATTGTTGCTGACCACAACAAAGTTTGTCTTGCTCTTACTGTACCTGTTGCTAATCCAACAATCTTTCTGAGCTGTTCTTCCATTCCCATCCCAAGCATCTTATCAGCCTCATCCATTACAAGGTAGGTAACCTTGTCCAGGCTTAGAGCTCCTCTCTCACACAGATCAATTAATCGCCCAGGTGTTGCAACAACAACATCAGCTCCTTGCTTGATGAGCTGAATTTGGTTTGAAATTGGAACACCCCCACATACTGGCACAGCTTTAAATCTAGCGTAGTTACTGTCTGTCTGTTGATTGTATGCAGCTTTATACGGCATGGCTGGGTTAACTGTCATGTAAGCTTGATATGGAGTATTAACCATTATATGTGGATTATAACCCATGATGGATTGGCCATGGAATGGCAATGGTTGTCGTAATTTTTCACTTACTAATTGTTGCAATAGACCTGATACATCAACATGAACTTGTTGCATAAGTTCACGTGTYGGTGTTAGAATAAGGGCTACTGGTGATTCTCCAGGTTTACGTGGCTCTCTAGATGCAAGAAACATACACATKGGAAGAGTATATGCTAATGTTTTTCCCGAYCCRGTYTCTGCTAATCCTATTATGTCRCGTCCACTCATTGCACAGCTTAGAGCTTGCATTTGAATTGGTGTTGGCTGATTATAATTCTTGTTGTCTAAATATTGTTTAAGTTCTATTGGTAAGTTGAGATTACTAAATGTTTGGATTGGATTAGGTATATTATCTCCCTCGACACGTATACCATTATGCCATCTCAGTTGATCTACATCTTCATCTGTCAAATTTTTGACATTTTCATGCTCTTCATAGTATGAGGTCATGAAATTGTCCTCTTTCCCTGTAGATTTTCTTTTCAAACTTTTACGTAGGGGAACAAACTCATCATCTCCTTGCAGACTTTTGTTATTCATAATCTTTTTTGCTCAAAAATGGAAAAGTTTTTATGAGGTTGATTAGAAAATGAAAATGAAACTGCTGGACCGCGGTTTCTCTTGAAAATGTATGCCTTTGTTAAATCTGCGCATGTTGTCAAGAAACTCACGCTGTAAGTCAATTATTGCCCGCAGGCTCAGTAGTTAATCATTCAAACCGCAAAAGATCAAGCAAATTTTGATTTTAGTCGAGATTTTGCTATCGTCTGRCTTAAAAATGTAGAAACTAGCAGGTTTTGGAGATTTTCTGCTACGAATAAAAAGATGGAAAAACGGCTSTTCGTTTTTGGAGGTGCGGGAATCCTTTTTGTCTTGTTATGGCAAATGGGGATYTTCCATGCGCTGTTTTCAACACTCCTCTATGTGCTGTCTTCGATACTTGGAATACTCACTGGAATAACACTATATCTCAGTTTTGGAAAGCAGAGAAGGCCTCCTACACCTAAACTTCCAACWAAATATCATGCAGTTTCGAAATACTTGGAGAAAAAGACTCAAAATGCHATTCAAACAACCTACAAACACAACTCCGTCATTTCGCGCTCTGTGGACAAGAGTATCCAGGAAGTATTTGATTTCTTCATACGAGATTTCTGTTTATCTTGGTTCCGTGTCCTTGGCAAAGACGAAGCAGCTTTTGTGGATCTTATGACGGAGGAACTYTGGGTTGTAACTACTAATGTYGTTGAAAGATTGAAGAATGTTGACACTGTAAAGTTCCTCTCTAGCGATGTCGTGGATATTTTGACAACTCATTTTCAGAATCTTCGCCTTGCCGATAACAGGGTCGCGTCGGAAACACCTGCCCCGTTCATCCTTCATCCTTGTCTTTACAACAAGCAATCAGAGATAGATCACATTCGAAAAGCTTGTGAAGTACTTCTGCATTGCCTGTTGCCTGAACAAAACTCAAATTGCAAAGGGATGAGACTGCTTTTAAGAGAGATTTTAACATTCTCTGTTTTTCAGCCATTAGCAGAAATGATTTGYGATCCAGATTACATCAATCAAACATTRCTGATTCATTTAGAGGCCAAGGAAGCCATTGCAGCTAAACATAAACCTCGCTATGCCTATGCYGAAACATATGAAGACTTCATACGAATGATTAACACCTGTAATTCAGTGGAAACATTAAAGCAAATGAGGTAGATACAGCCCCTGTTGCTCCCGCTGGAGACACGTCCCTTCCTAACAACAATCCCAGACAAAACAGTTGAGACATTTCTTAAAATAGGTTGAATTTCGATGGTCTATCTGCATATTTCTGTGAAAATCTCCCCCTTTCCCCCTCAAATCAATGTTGAAAGGACTGAACAATCATGCACACCCTTCAAGCATAACGTCACACACACAACATTGCTTGGTGGGGGGAGGGGAGGATCAAAATCAGTGATTTTTTATGGACAGGAGAAATGGGGATATTTTGGAGTGAAAAAATGCCAGTATCTCAACGAATTTTGTCCGTTATTGAAGCAATTTTAGAGGACTGCAAGTTTGTTCTAGTCCAATAAAAATTAGATGTACACTAAAAAGAGGTGCAATCCTCTTAGACTTATAAACCCCACATTAGAGAAAGCTCTCTTAACTAGATTTGAGCAAGTTACCCCTCACTAGGCATTACCTGTGTGTTTTAATATTTTTCCAAGTTTTTTGAAAATAGAAAATTCTTATAAAAGATAGTCTTCTCTGACTCACAGCTGTTAACGAGTTCCATTCCAAAGTCTTGAGAGAAGATTAATGAAATTTCGCATATAATCCAAAACTTTAGTAACTAAATAATGCTAAATTGGTACTGAATTATGGAAATTTGGTTGTTTTCTATTTTGTAACCTATTTGGCCAGAACTATTTCACACTTTTAGTGTTTGAACTGTACCTTTATGAGATAATTTGTTGTGATTGTTAAACAAATGTACTTTTTGTTTTTGCAGATATCATATTATTGCTGAAATTATGCAAGCAACAACAATCAATAATCTAAAAGGAATTGAGAAAATGAGTGACAAAGAAAATGAACCTTTGAAGAAAGATTCTCAGCTGAGGTCTAGGAACTTGAAGCGATATATCAACCAGTGTACTGTAGCCAAATCTCAGTGTGAAAAAAGAATAAAACTATTAGGTATGTACAATTTGTGGGAGTAAAAATAAGTACTCACAACATTCAACGTGACTACATATACTTTTATCATAAAAAAATAACCCAGAAGTAGTGAAATAATGACCACTTTTAATAGCTATTTCTACAAAAAGGATCAAACGTGTCAACTTTTTGAAAAGAAGTTCAGTGTTTTAAAAAAAGCAAAGGTTTAAGATATCATRACTAATAAAGGCATCAATTATAGGGGGCCCTGATTACACATCGCATAATACTAATGAACCAGTTCAAGTTACTGGAACAGACAAGGCCAAGACAGCTCAGAAACAAACCAGTCAGGCAAACAAAGTACTGAGCTTTATAGAAATCATGGATAACAGTCTTGCAAGAAGCTTCTTCATGTCATATCTACAGAACAACACAAATAGTAAAAATATGCTCAGGTATATTTCTTGATTTGTGAGTATGTTTAGATAATAACCTACTGTAGTGTCCTTATCTTTACAGTCTGGCATCACAGCATAAGCAACATGCACATGTATTTACCTCTCATCCGATCCCTATCCTGAAAAACACTCATTGTTATCATAACTATATAGCTCCAACTATTCCAGATAATGGGGAAGTTTCCAGATTTTGGGTTTCCCAGTCTCCTGAGTCTGGTTATTCAAAGGTCGATTAGCACTAATCCTGAGTAATTTGATTTATGATTAGACCAGTATATCAAGCAATACTGTACAAGGAACAAAATCAACTGATTAATGTTACTGATTTATTATTATTATCAATAATTTATTATTAATAGATTTTTACAATTTCCCTGTGTATAGTTTTTGGATGGCAATAGAGAATCTCAAGCTTGTCAAAGCAGCTGAAATCTTCAAAAGTACACAAGAAATCTACCAAGTTTATGTTGCGCCATCATCTGACAAGTCAATAATGCTAGACACGTCACTAGTCAGGGACATGGAAGGGTTTCTCAATGGCACTAAAGGATTACAGTGTTTCTTTGATGCTCAGTGGAAAGTGTACAAACACCTTGAGGAACGATTCTACAGAAGGTACATAATGTTTAGTCTTATCTCCAGACAACCYTTCATTTCCCTTTTGGGATTCCTCTGGATCTAAGGGACTGCTGGGTCCTGGATCCTATCCCAAATACATCAGGAAGTAAACTCCCAAAAGATATTTATGACACAAACTGGATACAAAGAAAGATACATTCAGAAATCAAAGAAATAACAAATATGAGGTCCTTGCTGGCAGTCCTTCCTAATTTCTCCTTCCCTCCTTCCCCAATTTACTGGCCCTTCCCCAAGAATTATTGACTGCTCCCTTAAATAATGTAATTCTTCATGCTCTCATCAGGTTTGTTTTGAGTCAAGAGTACTTTATGCTCATCTGCCAATTAGAGGCTGAAATGGACGACTTGAGAGCTCAGCAGAAAGACGAAAAAGATGATGAAGAGCACTTGGATTTAAACTGGAATGACCAAGTTGTTTCCTCAGATGAAGAGGTGACTAAAATATCAAAAAMTTTGAGAATTTGGTAAATGTTTAGGAAGTTCCCAAAAGTGTCTCTCTGTGATGTTATGAAAGATTGAGAAATGGGAAAACCCTGGGTACTAGGCTGGTAAATGTTAATTAGACCTCTATTAACTTTTGTAAATATTTTTTCTAGGATGCAGAAAATCAGGAGTGGACTCCAAAATCAGGTATAATTTGGTTTAAAATTTTATATATTTTATGTATAAATTCATATCATTGTTATCATTAACACTRTCATACTAGTGTTAAAACTGTTAACGTTCCATCATTGTGGGCAGGAGAAAATATGTTTCTCCATCCTGTTTTCATCCTGTATTGTCATCATTTTGATTTCTATCGATCATTCAGTTCGTAAACCAAGTACCGTAGAAGAAAGGAGTGATTCTATTGAGAAGAAATTACAACTCTTGGACCAGAGACTTGCTGCCAAGGTTAGTAGCTATTCAATCATGCCAGTCAAAATAAATACACGGTAATAATACTGACATTATAATTCACTAAAATGTTGCTTTACAGACTCATCAAATGGAGCTGATGAGAAGAAGTTATGGACTGGAATCTGAAGTAATTGTCTTTGTTCAAACTACATTTAATATAAGATTACCTGAACTTTGTTACATATTAGTTTAATTATTTTTGTTACTTTTTTTGCTTTAGGAAATGTCAAAAATTGARCAAGAAATACAAGGTCTGATAACAGAAAGAAGACATCTAGAGTTTCATATTGAAAGAACAGGTACTTAAGGTCGGAAATTAATTTTTCCGAATTTATTCCTAAGGGACTTCTCCCGGAATTGCCTCCTTCTAAGCACTATAACTTTCTTTCATTTCTATATCATGTTTATCATAGTGCCATGCGGTCTTCATATTCATATCAGGTACTTAAGGATTGTTTTTAGCAGAAATTCTCTATGAATGTTTATGTAAGCTACAAACCTGATAGGATTGTTGTATGAATAAGTCTGTATAACAATGAGGGTTAGGTGAGGGTCTAAAATAAGTATTCATGGTCACAGCTTTGTGATTCACCATACTCATTGTATTGATATTGATCTAGATGTTTGGTGTGAAAACCTGGGGAAATGGAAAGTATCAATAGAGACTGTTGAGGTACTAATTCCAGACCTGTGCTCATTTATTAATACACTCAAATTGATAATAATTGTTAATATCAAAATTGATTGCAGTGGAGTCAAGAAGACGATAAGTCCCTTCCATTGTATGTCATTGTAGTTCACTGCTCTCAATCAGACACTCCAGTCACACCATCAGGAATTATTCCAGAAAATGTGGAGGGTGCTACTTCAGAGGGATGGGTAGTGACCAGGAAATTTAAAGATTTCCAGACACTGCACACTAAACTTAAAGAGGTGACTGATTTTTATTTTCATTGTGTATTTTGTTTGAAAAAATTTACTAATTCTTTTGTTGTTGTTTTTAGTCTTTTTCATTCTTTTATTTCTCKTTCTTTTATTTATTTGTTTACTCATCTCTTCGTTTATTTTTCTGAATTGATATCCAGTGTTCTCCAAATTTAACTAAAGAACTGCCAGCACCAACTAAAAAGTGGTACAAGTCTATGGATGACGAATTCTTGAATAAAAGCAGGATTGCTCTCCAAGAATACTTACAGGTACAGTCATTGTAAGCCAAACATCAATGACTAATCTGACTTTAAGTAAACATTTCTAAAATRATATTTGAGTGACAACCTTTTAATTAGTTCRCTGTTCTCTTTACCATTTCAAAATGTAACATTTGTATCTCCTCCTCTTCCTTAACTTTATTACCAACAAGTTGTTTAGTCATATTTAGTACTTGAATTATAGTACATGACATTGTTAGAAAGTACCCAATGTTTTMTGATTTGTAGAGCCTATTAGCAGATGAGAGACTGTGTCTTAGTGAGGAACTATATTCATTTCTMAGTCCAAGCCCAGAACACTTAAGGAAGCAGAGGTAATTGAAGTTTAAAAATGGTAGCTGYAGAAACTCATTTCATGAACACTGTATGTTAAATTTCTAGTGAACCAGCCAAAAAGTCAACTGGATTTTCTCTGGTTTCTGTAYTAAAAAGGTTTGGATGATTTCTAACCTTATTAACAGTTTAATCCTATAAAACATTTTAATGCTATATGTTCAACATGATTCAATACAATATTAATATAATATTTATTGATCAACATATCGTGAAGAATTCTGTTTGGTTGAGTGTTTCAGTGTAGTTAACTTTATTTGAAGCTTTTTATTCTGTTAATTTTCACAGTCTCCCATTTGACTTTAGTCCAAATGATGAGGCAGATGAGGTGAGACAATAATTCTTAGTTGAGGCTATTTTTTTTTATTTATAGTAATATTTAACTAAAGATGATTCTTAATTGCTTTAACAGGAACCTGATCAAGAAGATAGGTAAATGGATCAAAATTACACTGAAAGCTACATACTGAAGATGCAATCATGCTCTGATGCATGATGATGCACATTATGTTTTATGGCAAAAGAATATTAACAGAAAGAGACTTGTTTATGTAGAGCTCAGAATTTGAGTTTCAAGGCCAGGGGCTTGAAAGCTGGAGATTTTGTATAGCTTGAGAAGTCCAACTAGTTTTATCTTGAATATTTTTCCATATCAGGAGAAAGCCCACATAGGGTTTCAACCTGCTACATGGAACAATTCAATTCAAAACACATTTGATCCACTCCATACACATAACAAACCAATTTGATACACACTCGATCCACTCGATACGCATTCGACCCATCTGGTATACATAACAATTCAATTCAATACACAAGTCAATTTGATACACATTCGATCCACTCGATACACATTCGATCCACTCGATACACATAACAAATCAAGAGGATTGAATGTGTATCAAAACTTGCTATCTTGGCTAAGCTTGCATTTTACAATTCACTATATCTGTTAGACTTTCACAAAGTCCCTTTTATTCTCGCTTTTTTTTTCTCGAGCTTCGCGCTCAGAGTTCTATTCTTTCTTTTTCTGAGTCCAAAGAGAGTCTGACTTGTAGCAAGTCTATATATCTGTTGGTTATGAGGTTATTTTTGGTTTCTTAAGATTATTGCAGCTAAAATACTTCATTTTATATTTTAGCTCTTTACCAAAAGATTCCATTGCTGAGCCATTTTATGCTTTTATTGGAGAAGTGTTTGAACTGAAAGGAGGTAATGTCAAATCAACAAAATATTGTTTCCTTTCATAGAAAGGTATTAAGGAATAATTAGAGTTCTTATATTTATTCATTCACCCTGTAGTATTCAAATGGCTCAGAAGGTCACTGATTGCATTTGTGCAAGTTACATTTGGCGGAACAATAAACAAGTAAGTATTAGCAATAAGACAATAGATCGGGCACATGAAAATAAAAGACAAGAAAATGCACAAGTCCAAGGCATGCAGGATGAGTCCCTGGGGTCGAGAATACAAAGAGKAGTATGCAGGTCAAGGTGAATGGTACCTGCACCCAGTTTTGACAGTGTTGGAATTTCATATGAAATACCAAAAACACACATAATGTTATGAACGCATTCAAGCATCATTTAATTGCATGCTCCTGAGCTATTTTTAAGTGCGTATTATATATTATATTGTCAACAGACCAGCTTGATATCAATTCTAACTTTAAAACTGTTTTTGTAGAGAAATCCGTGAGATGGTTGAATGGCTGGCCTCAGAGTCAATGATTATCTACTATGTCAGTATGTTCAGRGATTCAATGTGGCCTGGTGGTGTRCTTGCAAAACCTTTACCAACCAGGACAGCRGAGGTATATGGAAGTTGAATACCAACATTGCAGCTGACATTAGTGACACTTTTTCTTTGTTATTTCCAGGAAAAATTGGACACCAAAATCAAAGCAAAGAAGATGCTATTGAAAGATATTCCAGGTACATCAAATCAAAAAATAAAAAAAAATTCTAAATATATTGAAGATGAAGAACAGAATGAATGAGAAAGAGAGAAAAGGCAGAAAAAGAGATGAGAAATAATTGGCTTTGCACTTGTATGACTTCTATGTATTYACATTCAGAGGTTCTMCAAAGTCTTGTAGGGAAGAAAAATAGCAAGTTAGGAACAATCAAGGTAACTGGAAATTGTAAAGTTTATAGTAAAATTGTGAACTATTCATATTGGTGTGGCTTCATTTCAGGTTTTTGAGGCATTTCAAGACCAAAGAATCAATAAACATCTATTTTATGTARGTATCACTCACACCCAGTTGTAATTCTGGTTAGGTTTTCTTTGTATTCTTGGTTGTGTGCTGACTCAATTAAATAAATAAATTATTAAATAATATTTACTGTGAAATAAATTGTAACAAATTGCATTAATTAAACAATAATCATTTCTCTTCATGCCATGAGGTGCATTATGCAGTCACAAATGATCTACATAAAAATTACAGTAATTCAACAGGGTTTTTTTTTACCATTTCACAAAATGTTTCCATCAATGTGCTTCACAGGTTTTCGTGAGTACATTATCAATAAATAATTATAAATTTTATCTCTAACTGTAATTTTCACACATTTTGTAGATTATGTTGGAGCTGTGTATTTTCACTTTGTGTCCAGAGGTGAAGTCAGAAGAAATAATCAACAAAGCCAAAGAAATTAGAAAAGAACGGAGGGCAAAGAGGTCTCTTGGTCAGGAATAAAATATTTACCGATCTATGATTGCAAAAAACTTGTGATATGACTCAATTATTTTAGGGTTTTTTACTGATTTTATATTCTCAAGTATTAAATTATTACTTTTTCAATTTAGTAACATTGATAATGCAAGTAGTTGATCAGAAATCTCRGAAATAATTTCCAGATTCTCATCAATATTGCTGAAATGTTTTATGTGATACAAGGTCCAATAAGATATTAGTACAGTCTGCTTTGCTCAATTCTAGAAAACAGAGTCTGCAAAGCAGAAAATACATTGATATCTAGTTTCACATTCATTTATTGTCACAAGTTAATTGCAATCACTTTGAACATAAAAATAAAATATTATAGTATTTAAATAATGWATTGATTTAAGAATTTTAAGAGTATTTAAAACAACATTTTATGTAAATTTAGTCATCCTTTATTGGACATTTGGTAGTGGATACCACAGATGCATTACCATAAAAATGACATTAAAAAGTAATAATCTTCTGGTGAATATTCAATAAACAAAGATTGTTTTTATTGCTGTTTATTCATACATCCATGGATAGCAACATGGAATCCAGTCCACAAGCTCATCTTGTGCAAACCAAAGGTTGATTTCATCATTTGCACTTGCAACTGAGTCGCTGCCGTGAATGATATTTCTAGGAGAAACAAAAAGAAACATTACATAAAATAGATGAGTGAAGCCAAAATAATATGTCTTTGAAAAGTGGAGAAAAAATATTGAACTYATTGCACTCGCTGTGGCAACTTCAAAACAGATTTTTTTAATGGTCACATTTACTGGTAAGGAAAATCAATGATTATCAATAGTCAAAATAATATAGGTTTAATAATGAAAATCAAACGAAAAGATGTGACCTTCACATGAGTAAAACCACTAAACTATATAACAGATTTGAAAGAAAATCTTTTCACAACATTAGATGCCATTTACTTTTCTCAATGTGACCATGGTCACATTCGCTACGCTCACTCGTGAGAGATCTTTTCAACACTCGAAGATAAAATCCGTATCTCCGCGCGCCCATGTAATATCCTCTATATAACATTGAAGGATCAATGTTAATCTTCTGTATAGGAGAATGAGTGCATATAGATACAAACCTGCCAATATGGATTGAATAGTCACCACGAATAGTTCCTGGATTAGACTTTGCCTGGAAAGCAAATTTAAAATTTTAAGTACGGTAACTGGTTGGATATGATTTTTTTAGAAGGCACATGCTATAAGCCACTTTTGAACAGAGTATTATTTGATTGGATACTTACTGGATCAGTTTCTCCTAACATTTGCCGTGCTGTTTTTACAACATTTAGCCCTTCCCATACCTACAAAGCAAAAAAACATCTTCAACTCAGAATAAAGGTGACTATCAAGGACTAAATTATCATCGGACATGTATTAGATGTATCTTAAATTGTATGTTTGTGTACCCAGTGCTTGTTTAGTACTCACCATTGCGACAACGGGCGTTTCACTCATGTACTTGCAAAGACCATCGTAAAATTTCAAATGCTTCAAAGACTCGTAATGTTTTCTAAAATGTTCCTCGCTTTTCTGAAAGAAAGTTACCGATCAGTAAGCGCAAGTCAAAATTAGGCAAAAATATAACAGTTAGGATGTGATAAGGGAAACGTGATGTGGTGGAAACACAAGAAAACATATATTTTATGTCTTTACCTTTACAAATTTCATAGCCACGAGTTTAAAGCCTTTTTTCTCGAATCTGCTCACTATTTTTCCAATCAAACCTCGGCTAACAGCGTCAGGTTTGATCATAAGGAAGGTACGTTCACGATTGGCTTCGGCCATGATGTACAGAATGCCGCAATTTTTTTGGTCTGATTGCAACAACGATGAAAATCAAAAAGAACGTTAGAGTTCACGTGGTCAAAATTGGAACATCAGACTTCCCATAATGCAACAGTTGTCTACAAAGCCCGTGGGGCTACTCCCTAAGTAAAAATACCGTCCATGGTCCAACAAATTAATATATGGACGATCGATTTTAATAAAGATTGTGCTCAACAGAATTGAAAATGAGGATATGAGGAAAAGATTATCTAGTTTTCAATTCTTTATGCCCAAATTCAATTCTTTCACCAGAAAAGAAATTTGAAATAAATTTTCTACTAGCTTAAGTTTACACTAATAATCCAGTTTCGAATTCTCCAATGCTCTGCATGTTAGCCTCATTTGTGCGCAAAACATTCCTAATTGTGAGAATAAAAGTGTGAGATTTCAAATCAATTCCATTGTCTTTCTTTTCAAATTCCATGCGTTTTCTCGAGTTATCAATGAAACAAAAGGATATGTTGCCTGGTTTTGAGGCTAACACAGAGCAAACCAGAACTCGAACTCGGAGTATTCCATCACTCCCAGTTTGCTCTCATTTCTAAATTGCTGCTCACAGATTCATAGTCTCCTCTCAGCCGTTCTTAGTGGCGGCCTCCCGTCAAGGAGACTAACAGATTCATTACTAGTTTTAGAAAATCTCAAAACCACCTTTCTAGTGGAACACAAAATTAAAACTTAGTAAAATCTTTTTTATAATTTCTTTTATTTCGAATTAGAATTGTGACAGTTCTTATTAGGTGCTTAATCTTCATAGACATATTTATAGCTGTTTGGCGACCAGTCAATGAGTTCTTTCTTGTCAAACCAAAGATTTATTTCTTTGTCTGCACTTTCCACAGAATCACTACCATGAATGATGTTTCTGACAAGATAATAAAATAATGTTTCATCACCTTAAAACATTAAGCATTCTCATTCCCAATTAAAACTTGTTTCATAGCAATAACATTCAAAATATCACAATAATATACCTTCCTATGTGAACACAAAAATCTCCACGAATGGTCCCTGGTTTTGAGTCAGCCTAAAAAAATAAAATGGATCATAAAAATGCTGCCAAGAAATTGCATCTGTCAATTATAGTGTAAGTGATTATTGTTAATCACTTTATGGTCCAAGAAAAGTCCTATATATATTGTTATGAATAAAAGTATTCCATTTCCTACTATACAATATAAAGTTTTGCTCAACAAATTATAATGAATGACATTGTTTTTATCATATATAAACATGGACTTACAGGGTTTGTCTCTCCCAACATGACTCGACCAGTTTTCACAACACCAACTCCTTCCCATACCTACAAATAATATAACATCTATATTTTCAAAAAAAGTTATAAAATATTTGAGATTCAAACTATGATAAATTTCTAAGATGAGTGGAAAAAATTGTTTAAAATAACAAAAAAATATTATATTCATTTAGTATTACCATGGCAACAACAGGTCCAGAGGACATAAAGCGAACAAGACCAGGRAAGAATGGCAGTTTACTTAGATCTGCATAATGTTTCTTGAGGTGCTCTTCTGAGGGCTTTACGACAAAAAAAAAGAAAAAAGTCAAATTCATAATATAACTATTAATAAGTTACTAGTATCAGATGGTGTCACACAAGAGTCTGTATTTTATCTTTAAAACAAATCTTTGTCAATCAATCAATCAATTCAGAAAGGCCAATGACAAATTGATCCATCACACATCATTTAGTCAATCAATATGTCAATCAATTATCAAGCAGCCTATCATCATCATCCATACATACATGTACAAATTTCATAGCGACCAATTTAAATCCCTTTTGTTCAAATCTCTTGATAATTTCACCAACAAGGCCTCTTTGAACTCCATCAGGCTTCACCATAATAAARGTCCTTTCTCCTTTATTCTAAAACACAAACAAAAGTAATCAAACTAAAATTCGGAATGCTCACTATGATACTGACACGTGACTTCGACACGTCACTGATCTTTTTTGTACAACTATTTTCATAGTAACACTCATACCACAACGCGTGAGGCAGCATGAACTGGCTTGAAAATGACTAGCTTCTCTTTGTTATCATAGTAATATTTTGCACCCATCAAAGTAGTTACAGCTGAAGCTGCCCCGAGTAGAAAGGGTGCTGCATTGCCAAACATTGAAGGTCCTTTCGAACTGTTTTGAGTGGTAAAAGCTCGCCTAATAACGCCATTTCTAACTAATGGAGCTGAAGAGCGGAGCTGACAGGCTATTCGGGAAGGAAAAGACATTTTTTGTGAATTTGAATGGCAGAAACTTCGGCACCGACTGTTCAACTTGAATGGAAGAGTGTGAGAGGACGAACCGGGATTTTAGCCGAGAAAAGTTGGGTACTAGTCAATTACGTCGGWGGGGAGGGGACAAGACACAAATACAAKAATTAYCTTTTAGTCCCTTTTTAGCACCAAAAGCAAACATAAATGTTCCTTTTTTTTAAATAGAAGAAGTATCTATACTAAGTTTCTYATAAAATGCTTTATTATCAAAATTTTCTGTATAAAAATTAACTCAAGTGAGATATGAGCACCATGCCTCCCCCCGTGGGTAGAAATCATTAGATTCACGTGGCTATTTGCCTTAAACATTTCAAAAGTACACTAAAAATCCAACAAAGGGTATTTTTATCAGAATTCCCCAGTAAACACACACTTTAACATGTAATACTTACCTTTCCACAAAAATTCTTTGAATTGCAATTTTGATCTGGATGATGATCTTTCGCAAAAAAAGAATCTCCAATTCCTTGGTTGTTTTSGTTTGGTTGATCAGCTGTTTCGGCATAGCTTAATAAATATAAAAAGATATAAAAGAATTCCATTCCAATAAATATGCTTCTAAGGTTTGTCATCGTGATTTTTCCAAGCTCTTTGTAAAAGTAGTCTTCATTATTGTTTCCGGGCTTCCTGTTAGGTTAGGTACACAGGAAATCCGCTCTCTAAATTCAATGTTATCATAGTTGTAGTATACCAGACAAGATAATAAATGTGGAGGTAGGCATTCTYCTCTTTACGGTTTCAATTCAGTCATCTTTGTTTCATAATGTAAAGGAAAATCTCAGAAAAATTGAAAAAAACTGAAAGAAGTTCAAMCMAARGGSYWMCCCCYYSGKWWWTTTATTGTCAATGCGATAACGAGGCAAAGCATGACGTCAGAGGCTGCGCAGTGGATYAGAGAGTCCTTTTCGATCTGTGCGGCTTATTGTGTGTCGTAGCAGAACTACTGGTTCCCTTGAAAAATATTTCTGTAGGCCGCAATATCTGGCCGAATAGACCTTCAAAATGGGAAGTAAGTATCTTTAATACCTACGCTTTTATCTGCTAAAATCTTGTGGTTCAGGGATGTGTATGGCTGCCGAGAAATCAAGACTAACTTTGCCTCTTTTTGGCGTCTTGCAGTAAAATTTCTCGAAGTACTACGTCCATTCATTTCCGTTCTACCCGAAGTCTCTAAACCCGAAAGAAAGGTATGTAATCCTRTTGKACACCGTAGAACTGTTCATGTTTCTTCCTTCTCTTTGTTATGAACTTTGTGAATGTCTTTTTACCATTTAAAAGTATTTTTGACTTTAAATGATTAAACTTGTAAAGTGCAGTTGAGATTCAATACTGGTTACGTGTCCTTTAGCGTGTGGCCCCAGACAACGCTCACTAACCCGGCTTCGCTATTTATTGAACTCACGACTTTTAATATTTTTTTCAACAGATCCAATTCAGAGAAAAAGTATTATGGACAGCAATTACACTTTTTATTTTCCTCGTTTGTTGTCAGGTAAAGCAAAATTTTTGTCTTTAGCAAGGGTGGAAATTTTGTCCAAAGCTCTTTGTATATGGATTCTAGAACAACAACTTCCATTCTTTTTTTATCATTATAATATTTAGAATTGTGTTATTATCTTATGTCTTGAATGGATAAAATTAACTGCTTGGCATCTTGTTTTCATTGAAATAAGCAGTAATTTTATTTATAAATGCGATTTTTATTACTGATGATCATTATATGTTCTGATGATTTGTTCCTTTTGCAACTGTGTAGATTCCCCTCTTTGGAATCATGTCTTCAGATTCAGCAGATCCATTTTACTGGATGAGAGTAATTCTGGCTTCTAATAGAGGTAGGGAAAATGAGAGAATAAATATACAAATTTAATTTTCTTGTTTCCATAGAAAAATTATATGAACAACTGAAGATTAAATAAAGGGTTAATGAAATTTATGCAAGTATTCCATAAGCACCATATTCTCTATAAAATGGTTAAAATATGCTACAATTAACCTCATTCTTTCATAAATCTGATATTTCAAGGAGAAAGAAACAGGTTGATTTTATTGTAAACATTGAGTAGCAAGGTGCAAAAACAAAATCCAATTTAAATACCTGTTTTTGTCTTGYAGGGACACTTATGGAACTTGGTATTTCACCAATTGTTACATCAGGTCTTATTATGCAGGTAATACCAATTCTTTTACAATGAAATAAACTAGGCAAATGGTCTCGTGGGATATCATAGCTGATTTTTCCTAAGTGTTTTGAGCAGTTGTTACTTCATTATCAACATGATGGCTTAAAGTGTAATATTGTAATTATATAAAGATACTATTATTGTATTTTATAGCTCTTGGCTGGTTCCAAAATCATTGAAGTAGGAGATACACCAAAGGACAGAGCATTGTTCAATGGAGCTCAAAAGTGTAAGTATCTTTTATCTTTGTTGTGGAGTGTGATACCTTAGCTGGTATAGTAATGTTGGACAGATGTAAAACAACCCAAACCTGGTGATGTGGTCAGGTCTCTACAAAGGTTACTAGTCAATGAGACCAAAATAGATGCAGTTGTGATAGYTACATGTACATGGATATTGCTAAGTGTCGTGATTATTGTTATTCCGTATTGAAGAGATTTCATATTTAATAAGAAAAAGCAACAATGATTTTGAAGGTCTCTTGAAAAATAATTTGTAGATTCTTGTATTTATGTCATTTGTTATGTTTTAGTGTTCGGGATGATCATTACTATTGGCCAAGCTGTAGTATATGTAATGACTGGAATGTATGGAGACCCATCTGATCTTGGACCTGGTATCTGCCTTCTCATCATCATCCAGGTTTGTAKGAARTCTAGTCTGTATTACTGACAAAGATGTCAAAACARCTTACAGGATWATGCAAAACGTACGTTCAAGACACAACACCCTCAAAAGTATCAAAAGATTTRCAATACATGCACACAATGCATTTCCTTATATGTTTTTTGCTATTGTGTAAGATATGAATGTAATCCATGTATTTGTATGTGAACTTTTGATTTTCTCCCAAAGCTTTTCTGTGCTGGTTTGATTGTTTTACTGTTGGATGAGCTGCTTCAGAAGGGTTATGGACTTGGATCTGGGTGAGTATTCAACTCCCTTATACAAAAACAAGCTGCTCTTTATTTGACATTTTATATCTAATGATTTCTTTCCTTAAATAACCCTTCAAAACTCTCTGTGTTTTAATAGTATTTTTTTATTTCTCTTCACAGTATTTCATTATTTATTGCAACCAACATTTGTGAAACCATTGTCTGGAAGGCYTTCAGTCCAGCTACTATCAACACAGGCAGAGGTCAGCATCTCACAACAACTACATCCTACTAAAACTATGAATTTATGTTATTTATGTCAAGTACACTGTTAAGTCGCCTTGCTAAAATATTCTCTACTTGTTTACAATGCTTTAGGTACTGAGTTTGAAGGTGCCATCATTGCCTTGTTTCATCTTTTGGCYACAAGGACTGACAAAGTCAGAGGTCTGAGAGAAGCTTTCTATAGGCAAAACCTTCCCAATTTGATGAACCTGATGGCTACTATCTTTGTCTTTGGAATTGTAATTTACTTCCAGGTATGTTTCAGCAATATTTAGTAGTTATAGCCAGTTGTGTCATTTMATAAAATGGCTTCCATTTCTTTTTGATTAGTTAAATGATATTTTTTTATCATTCATAATCCCATCATGTGTCTCCTTAAACTCATATATGTATTCTGTARAATGGTAATCTTTGAAATAGAACATGCAATAAAAAGGATATTTCAAAGTTATTCAAATAAAAGAATMATAAATTCTTTTATATTTGGAAACTTATAATCTTTAATTTTTTAAGAGAATTTTAACTAATATTATTTCATGAATTATTTCAAAGGGTTTCAGAGTCGACTTGCCAATCAAATCWGCCAGATACCGTGGTCAGTACAGCTCATACCCAATCAAGCTCTTCTACACCTCAAACATTCCCATCATCCTCCAGAGTGCTTTGGTATCCAATATCTATGTTATCTCACAAATGTTGTCTGCAAAGTTTGCTGGAAATTTTATTGTTAACCTTTTGGGRACTTGGGCAGATGCTGGYGGTGGGCCAGCTAGGTCATACCCAGTTGGTGGACTCTGTTACTACATGTCACCACCTGAGACTGTYGGCCATATAGTAGAGGATCCCGTTCATGCTCTAGTGTACATTATTTTCATGCTGGGATCATGCGCCTTCTTCTCCAAGACATGGATTGATGTCTCTGGCTCCTCTGCTAAGGATGTAAGTGTCTTGMATTCTTCCTTACCAAATCATTTATTGGAAATGTAGTTGATAATAATTAACTAATATAAACTAGCATGAAATCATTGTGACATCTACTGGTAAATGTTTTAATGTAAATTCCAAATTTCAGGTTGCTAAGCAACTCAAAGAGCAACAGATGGTCATGCGTGGCCACAGAGACAAGTCAATGGTTCAYGAACTCAACAGGTAACCTTTTATACTTGAAACTCATCTCATTTCTTGCTGTTTCAACCATCTTATCAATCTTTGTTGGGATTTGTAAAGGTCSTCCTATACTGCTGGATAAACTACTTGTTTTCCCTTTACATGTAGTTGCACTTTGAAATTGACTTTTTGAATGATTTTTTTTTTGTAGATACATTCCTACAGCAGCTGCTTTTGGTGGTCTTTGTATTGGTGCCTTGTCTGTCCTTGCTGACTTCCTTGGTAAGTGCACAAAAGCATATGATACAATTAACAATGGTGATGAATTGAAAATTTATTCCATCAACCTTGGTAAAAATGATTGTATTTACAGTCATCTGATTAAAACTAAGCACCTAAAGTATAGYTGGAATCTTAGAAGTGTTTTTGTGACTCAAGTCAAATTGTTTGCCTATGTAATACTTTTTATAGCAGTTTAATGCTTTTTTATATTTCAMATTTTATCATTGAAACTCCTATTTTTTATTTATAGGTGCCATTGGTTCTGGAACTGGTATTTTGCTTGCTGTTACAATTATTTACCAGTATTTTGAAATATTCGTCAAGGAACAGAGTGAAATGGGAGGCGTGGGAGCTCTTCTATTCTAGTTTCCTTCATTTYCTTCATTTTGTCATCATTTGGTGTACTTATTACATTATTTGCATAGGTAATATACTCAAATTGACAAATTGAAAAATATGTAGGTATTTAATTTTTTATTATAAAATTTCAACACTGTTCCTATACCAAGAGATTTGTGTACGAATAAAGCTTTAATTTTCATGAAGCTGTYGAAAATATCTGCTCTTGCAATCCCATTGTGTATCTGTCATTCATACAACTGGGATTTGTGTTTCATCGTGTTTTTACTTTACTCTGGCAATTTGTGTACATGTAAGAAAATGTATAGTGTTCATCAAYACATATATGTACATATAATGCATAATATATCCGCTGATCGAAAACAATGAACTCTCTTATGTCTTTTAAGATGTGGGTAATGACCATACTACATTTGTCAACCAGTTAATGTCTGTTTAGAGTATTTTAGATATTTTAGAGACTGTTTGTGTGTCATGAACTGTTATAAATATATAATAAAGTATAAATCCTTTGGAAGCATTGGATAGTTGATTATTCTTGTGTTGACTGTAAGTAATTAAGTTACAGCAAACAAATGATGATTTTCACTCGAGTCRTGTAAGCTAGACTGTGTGAAGGGTACCTCATTCCTGCAATTTTTCACTCCACTCAAAACGAGGAACGCCTCGCACAGTCTATATG